GCCCTTTGTTAATAATATTGCATGCCGCCACGTTATCTGAGAAGCACCTGACCGACTGCCCACTCCATTCCTTACCCCATATGTGTGCAGCAGCTATGATTGGGAAGACTTCGAATAGTGCTGAGGTGGTATTGAAGTTCTCTAGTATGGTAGTCTCTAGTGGCCAAGAGCCGTACACCCATTCTTACCAAAAATAGCTGCGTCACCTATGGCACCCGATTCGTCAGTCCAAACTACCGGGGAGTCGTCAGAAATAGGGGGGACGAATAGCGACCTGCCATTCCAAGATGAAAAAAATAGATGCCACATTTTAAAATCTGCTCTAGCTGGTTCGTCTAAGAGGGTTGTGGAGTCATCGTCAGGGAGCCCGTGAAGGAGAGAGAGAATTCTGGAAATGAAAGATCTCCCTTGTGTTATTATGCTCATTGCAAAATTAAGTGACCCGAGTAGTGACTGTAGCTGTTTCCTGGTGAAAGAGCCTTGTGATGTGCAGATGTTGATATAAGAGAGAATTCTGTCTACTTTCTCTTGGGGAAAGCTGGCTTGCATAGACATGGAATTGAGTGTAATACCCAGGAAAGTAATCTTGGTTTTGGGACCTTCTGTTTTGTCTGGGGCAACAGGGACTCCTAGATCTTTGAATAGAGAAAGCATGTGACGTAGGCTGCTTGGTGTGCAGTGGTGTGGTTCGATGGTGAGGAAGTCGTCTAAATAGTGGATGACTACTGGACATCTGCACCGTTAAGTAGGAGCCTTGTTAAAGTCTCGGCGAAGATATCAAATATCTTGGGGTTACTCTTGGAGCCGAAAGTTAGCCTGGTCACGAAATAATACCTGTCTTCCCACTTAACGCCATGCAGGTGCCAGAGTGCCTGCTGTATGGGTAGTAATTTAAATGCATTAGTAATGTCGGTTTTGCTTAACCATGCAGCCTTACCGGAATGAATGATGGCTTGTATGGTGTCATCAATTCTAGCGTATTGTAGGGAGAAATCTTCTGACGGAATTAGTGCATTCAAGCTAGGTGTAGTGGAAGAGTGAGATGCCGAAAAGTCAATAATAAGCCTCTTTTTATTATTGAATTTCCCCGTAGATATTCCCAGAGGGCTTGTTCTCCAGGAGGTGAAAGGTAGTGTTGTGAAAGGCCCTATCATGAAGCCGTTGTTAATTTCTTTGAGTAGGAGTTCATGTATGCTACTGGGGTCTGTGAGTGCTGACTGTAGGTTGGGGCATTCCAAAATACCCGTGGGGAGTGTAACAAAACCTGTGTGAAACCAGTCAGTAAAACCAGATGTGAGGAATTCTACCAGATGTAAAGAAGGATAATTAGACAGGTAGCGTTGCAAATTAGGAACGTTTATTGGAGTGGAGGATCTTTTAGGGTACAGCCTGTTTTGGCACATTGTTTTATCGTGCGCTCTGTAACAAAGTGAAGAAGCCTGCAAGCACTGTAACTACAACCACCAGCATTTAAATTATTACAGACTTGTGCTTTACCCAAAAATACAATTGGCCTGCCTAGTTTGTCTCTCAATTCTCTCTGTGTAGTATTAGATTGATACTCAGGGTTGGCGTTACTGGTAGAGGGAACTGCTGTGTTGTCAGGACAAAAGTTGACTGTATGGGCTGCTGACAAGCATATAGCGCAAGAAGGCGTCTTGAGACCCGCAAAATGCCTAAGAAACAGTTCGGTGTCTAACTGACCCCAGTCGGTGTTAGTATTGTATTGGGTGAGTGAAGCGGCTGACCTGGAAGCGAATGATTTGTTATAATCATAAAAGGCATGGCCTCCGTACTTGTATGCCAGGTCAATGATTTTCTGGAGGTATAAGTCAAGTTCCTCTCTACGGAGGGGAAAGGCTGTACAGATAACGTCTCGGTATAGAACAAAGACCAGGACGAACTCAGGGATGTTAAGTTTCCTGTTCAGTCTAGGGTCTCTGGACTTCGTAACTACTGATAGGTCATCGAATGTATATGACCTGTTTTCAATCACGTCTTGAGAATCTATCAGTAGTGAAGCCAAGTTAATGTCTTTCCCTTCTATAATGTCACGCTTCAGGTTTTGTGGAATGAGGTGGATAGGGTTAATAATGTTGGTAGTTTTGACGGGTACAGGGTTCTTGTTACCTCCTGGGTTAGGCTCAGGCTGGGCTATGGAACTGGAACCTCTGGAATGATAGGTGTACTATTAGATTCCAGATTATCCAGTCTTTTATTAATAGTGGCTACGGAAGACACAAGGGAGGCCATAATGACGTGCAGTTCTGCTGTTTTGCGCGTTAAACTCAGAACTAGGGCCAGGCCTTTCATTGTCCTCCTGAGTGTTTAGCAACCGAAAAAGTTCCGCTTTCCTGGCTGTGGCCGGGAAGGGGATATTTCTCTTTTTGAGTTTTGTGGGGATTTTTGGAATCGTCCAGGACCTATAGCTAGATGCTGGGCTTACAGGTATGGCATGCCTTCTCTGTGAGCCTGATTTGGTCGGGGTGCTGGCAACCGACAGGTCATCTCCTTGTATGGAAGCATTAGACATGCAAAGGGTGTGAGGCAGATAGCTTAGGTAAGTATGGATTGTGTGGATCTGCAGTAACCCAGATTGCTAGATTAGTGCCCTGAGGCAAAATTGTATTAACTTACTAATATTGGTTCCCTGACTACTAGCCAAGTGGATTTGAGAGGCTCTACCTATGATTTGGCTTGTGGGGCCTTAGTGCCACTGAAGTGGGTGGTTGGGTGTTGGCCTCTCGGTGACACGTATAAGATACATTATCGATTGGCCGCGACGAGTGAGGCCCTAACTATGATTAGATGCAAGGCTATAGCTATGCGTTGGGCCGATTGGGCTTGGACCTCTGCTGAACGGAGCGATAATCGGCCTTGCAGGACCACTAACTCTAGGCGAAGAGGCCTATGGGAATATACCTAATTGGCGAGGGTTTATTATAACCTGCGATCAACCTAGCGGGGCTATTGTAATTCGACATACCTGTTTATTATCCTGTATGACATATTCGGAAGTGTTTAAGAAAGACCCCTACTTGAACCTAAAAAAGTCAAAATAATTGAGTTAAAACCTAACCCCCAGGAGACGACCATAGAAATTATACTGCTGGGCCTGACAGTAGATACTAACCATATATAACTTCAAAGATTTATGAGGATTGCCTGTCCTGGTAGGGCGATAGTCTTTCAACTAGTGGTTGGGAAACGTGATTTATTTAATACATGTTCTGGTTACCAGAAAGTAATACATAACAATGTAATTAGGTATGAAATTTAGGGGCCTACCTCTATAACCTTGCAGTTGAAATAACCAAGAAGGCCCTGCTGCAACCAGTTTCAGTAAGTGAGTAATCTTAAATATGGAAACAGAACCGTCTTAATTGACATATTCATATGTAATGAAAAATTGCATTGTATAACATAAGTGCATTAGAGGAGTATGCTATAACATTTAGAACTGTAGAAGAAAGAACTTGAGCATAGAGCGGTCTCCTAATAATGCTAATTAACATGCTTTAACTCCTATGTAAAATACACATACTGTGGCTTTAAGTAAAACTTCTGCAGGGTGAAGTTATAACACAGTACTTTAAGAATTGTATAAACGTAACAGCCGTAGATACTATGCAGTTTGTTTAGTGAACAATAGTAACATAAGAAATTTAAACGTGAGACTAATGGAACCATACTAATTGCAAACACGAAATGCTTTACTAATGAGAGCAAGGCTGTGATCAGCTGAACAAACGAATTGAACACTCATTGCCTTATGCCATCGTATAGTAAGAGCTGGTGAAACGTACGAAAGATTGCATGAAAGCGGGTCTATACGAAAAGGTATCAGTGTATGTATAAACGTTTATGCATGATATTTTTTTAAACGAACGGACATTGGAACGTGAGGAAGCTTATGAAAGAACTGCACAAAACGCGGGTTTTTACATGAAAGGTAGCAACGTCAGGGACGTTTTAGCCGCGAGGCAAACAAGGCATTTGCCTTGGGTGGCATTTTCGAGGGGGCAGCTAACTGACAAGCAAGGCGGTCGGGCAGCGCTGGCGAGGGAGCACTTTCCCCTGAGAGCTCTGCTCAGTTCCCCTGTGCGCCGCCCGCAGAGTGATGCCGGGAGCCGGAATATGATGTCATATTCCGGCTCCCGGCATCACTCTGCGGCGCGCGAGGGAGCTGAGCAGACAAGTGCTCTCTCGCCAGCGCCGCCCGACTGACCGACCTGCAGCCCTGGACCCCAGGGAAAGGGAGAACCCCCACAGCATTCCCAAAGGTAAGGAGGCTGGGGGGGTTAAATAAAAAAAAAAAAAAGTGAGTGTGTCATTGTGAGTGTGTGTGTGTATGTATGTCTGTTAGTGTGTGTCTGTGTGTGTGTGTCTGTCTGTTAGTGAGTGAGTGTCAGTGTGTCTGTTAGTGAGTGTGAGTATGTTTTTTAGTGTGTGTGTTTGTTAGCGAGTGTGTGTTTCTGTTAGCTAGTGTATGCTTATCTGTCAGTGAATGTGTGTGTGTATTTAGAAGGCAGGGCAGTGGGGAAGGGTTGGGTGGGGGTGGCGTAGGAGGGTTGGGGGAGCACCTGAGTTTTGTCCTGCCTAGGGCAGCACAAAACCAGGATACACCACTGAGCAATGTACGAATGAATGGTAACACAGGTATTTTAGCCGAACTGGCTTTAACAAATACTGATGAATTGGTTCTATGCGAGGAAAGAAACTAAAGTTTATACGAATGCCCGTTTATTTTGAGTGCCGTGGTAACCGAACAGAAAATTAAACGAACGTGTGGTCTAGTGAAAGTACAGAGGTGCATTTGTATGAAAAGAGTATAACTCTTTCTAGTTATACTCAGGAACACAGAACTGAAAGAAAGTTTTAGCGACAGACTGCCGGCCGGCGGGCCGGAAAATGACGTCAGAGTCCAATGAACCCGAAGTAAACAGGAGCACTTCCGAGATCGAAGCCGACAGGTAAGCAGGGGCTTACTGGTTTAATTAGGGTTCATGGTGCCTCCCACAATTACAGGCCAAGCCATATATATATATATATATATATATATATATATATATATATATATATATATATATTATATGTTGGAAGGCCAATTGGCCTGAACTTGTGGGAGGAGTAATGATCCTATTTAAAAAATACCCCCCTACTTACCTTTTTCATGCAAGCTGTTTGTCATCTACATAGTTGCCTGCACTTCCGGTTCGTTGTTCCGGCCAAGCCCTGTTTCAAGCTGTTTCCAGCAAGCAGTCCGTGCCCATCCACCGGCTTCTACCCGACTTCGCTACTTGCTACCCGGCTTCCAGTCACGAGACCGGCACGTCCACTTAAGCATAAACGTGGGAAATGGTGTTCGGCTATTTCCCATGTTTGGGCCTAAAAACGAGGGGATAGGATACCCGTTCGTGCTCTTACCCTGTTCGTGTACTTCTGCGTTCGTGCAGCTAACAGCCAACCGCAGAGTACACACTCTTTTCGTATATATTTTCGTATAAGCTAACTACCGACCGCACTAAACAAACTTACAGTCGACTATTTCATCTGTTCGTTCGTTCAGCCGACCACATATAAAATTGACTTTCGTTTTAATCAGTTCGTATGCTCCATTTAACTGAACACAGGAGATCTTTCTCTTTACAGTTCTCCTGTTCATTCGTTTAACCGAACGCAAGAGGCTACAGTGTTTAAATTCACAAATCTGCTGGAAATGCACCTAGTTATGCCATTCACAAACTAAGCACTTACATTATTAATCCTATATGAATTTATGTGTTTTATTATATGGCTCTTAAAGTCACACTGGAATAATAATATATGTTTCACTAATTTCCTGTCCATGGTCACATAATTATGGGACACCTATCTTTTACAGGGTAATCTTCTTAAAGGCACAGTTTGGCCACTTTCACTTATAAGTTACATTAATAAAATACACCTCCAGGCATTGTTATCTAACCCTGCTGGGACTTAGGTTATTGTACTTTCCCTAATGTACTAGTCTTCTACGCAACTAAGGTCTCTCCGCTCATAGGTTAAGCCTTTTTCCACCATGCTCATTACAGACCATTAGCATGATTTTAAAACCGCTGTTCCTTAAAAGTCCTTATATATTGGTTCCTTACACTTAGACTGCATATGTTTTTAGGTTGTTATTACTTTCCTCCAAACAGTTTTCAAGGTAAGTGGTATCCCATTATCCTGTATTTCTGTATCAGGTAAGAAGGGTTACCAATTCTCTTTTTCCCTGGAGGCCTCATTCGGCCTCCCCACCTCCCAAAGTGGGTTCTAAACTTCAAAAGGGCCAGATCTGAGATTCCTCACGGCATTTAAAACATCAATCACACAAACCTACACCACTTTGCTGCTACTTATTTAACAGTTCATTTCTTGTCTATTGTTTCTACATTTCTTCTCTCAGACCTGTGTCATTTCCGCAGTTTCGCCAAGTTACACGGCATCAACCACCAACAAGACTACCTGGTTCCCTGCATTTCAGTCTCAGGTATTGTTAAATCTTACTCACTACGATTACGTTCTCCTTAAGGCCTCACTTCGCCTTCATATCATGTAAATTACCCAATCATGGGATCCCAGGGGGCTTGTCTCTACTTACGGACCAACGTTCAGGTCCCTCATCGTACACGGGTTCTTACGTTACAGTTTCACGATTACACTATACCCATACGTTTGACATTTTTTACACTTGGCATACCAGTGGCACGCCGCAGGCCCTCTAGCATCTTTATTACCCTTAGTATATCTTCACCGGACCCGTTCCCTGAAGAAGCAAGAATATATCGAAATCCTCCTGCGCATTGACCAAAGATAGGACAATACTCAAAGTTAAGTATATACATACGTTTCATTACACCATTCAAGGAGACAAGCCCCATCAGGCTAGTGAACTGGCATTGAGGGTTAGGCGCTGGCCTCAGCTATCCTAAGTAATACTACGGTCCCGCGAGGTCTACACCCCCACCTCATACACGGAGGTTTAGCCCCATGGCCAAATCATAGTTAGCTACCTCGCTTGCCCTTCTTTAGGGCTACAGTTAGGGCTTCCCAAGTCACGGGCACACGATTTTGAATCTCATACGGTCACCGAGAGGGCAACACCCTGCCACCACGTTCAAGTGGCCACAAAATTCCCTTTGGCTCAAATCATAGGTAGAACCTCTCTCCACCACTTGGCACTAGAAGGGCCTCACCTGTCACTTAGTTCTAGGTAAATTCTTCGCCTCAGCACTAGCTAGCAGGCCAGTTCTCCGAAGGTCTCATCCACACCTCTAAGACACATTACTTATCCAAATCATTATTCCTTTTTCAGAATGTCACAAGAATCCATCCCAATATTCGGTCTGCTGTTGGACGAAATACCCAACACGCCAGTCAGGCCTGGGTCTCCAAAGGAATCCCTCACCCCTTCTACCCTCAGTTACCTGAGATTCTGGACCATTTCTTAAATATCAGCAGAGCTCAGACTCAGGGGTATCCCCTCTCCAGCCACGGCCAGTAAGGCAGAACTACACAGGCTCACGACGGCTCAGGCCAACGTCCCCAGGTCCGGCTCTAGTTCACAAGGGCCGCCAGCTTACTACTCAGATTACACTCAGGAGACCCTGGTCACTATCCCGGCTAGCCTCCAAATGATCTACAGGCTGGTAAGTGGAATCGGCTATAGCCACACCAGGTGTCTCGTTAAGCCCGGCAGGCCCTCCCCTGGCGATCTTGGTCATACAGTCTGGCTTACCCCTCATTTCCCCCACCACTCACTATCACTACTCCATACGTCTCACCGGCCCACTCGGTTCCAATTTCCATGGAGAAGGAAATTCTCCATGGAAAGGACGTTAAACTAACATCACTAACTAACTTCCCAAGACACCCTACAGTAGAAAGGTTATATTCATGGTGACATTTCAGTAGTCCTAAAGAGTGAGACTAACGAATTAACAAAGCTTTCCATTCCTCAGTTTGTCATTGCCTCTCGCATAGAGACAGCCACTTCCACTTCTCACCAATCCTTCACCCCACGCACTAGACCGGGAGGCGAGCAGAGGGACAAGCTGGGCTGACCATTTCATTTCTGGATAAGGCTCGGGTGCACTATCACTTTAATGCTGGGGCATACTATTTCACTACATGTAGGGTATTGCACATCTGCTCCAGAGCCCACACCTAGTCTACATATACAGCCCGTCTGTCACCTAAGATACGCCTAACTAAGGTTAACATTGTTATCCTGGAATACTATCTGCATTTACACCCAGATAGGCATCTGGTAGATTCTGGTGCCGGGTTTCACACGGGCCTTATCGCCATTCCCACAGGTACACTCGTATGCCCTAACCTATTATCTGCATCCATTGACCCACTTACGGTGGACCACATTCTGTCCACGGCAATCATACGCTGGTTTCACGATCGACTCTTTCCGGTCTTCACACTTCTCATCTTGGCGTACCAATCCCATCGAGGTAGTCATTCACAATACCCTATAATACGTCTGATCATAGATCTTCCGCACCGCACTCTACATCCATTCCCAGCATCAACTCCCTCAGGGTGTAATAAAGACTTTGAGGACTTTGTAAGACTTCTCAACATAAATGACCTTAAGATTCACTAGTGAGATTGGTGGCAAACAACTCAATTTCCTAGACATAACCATAACAATACAATCTGGAGGAAGTGTTTCAACTACCCTCTTTAAGAAACAAACTGCCACCAATAGTCTTTTAAATTGGCATAGTTATCATCCCCAGCCTCTTAAGGCGGGCATACCAATAGGCCAATAGTTAAGATTGAGGCGTAATTGCTCTTCTACAGAAGATTTTAAAATTAAAGCCTGGGACCTTAGGCGAGCATTTAAGGAGAAGGGCTATCCGAATAGGGTCCTACGCAGAGCATATGCCAGAGCCATTGGTACTGAACGTGACTTACTCCTCACTGATGACAATGCACAAGTACAGGATCAAAAATTGATCCGTTGCATTGCCACATATGATGCAGGTTGGGATTTCATGATGGGCACACTGAGGCGCTATTGGCCGATTTTGACATCTGATCCACAAATCAAGCAGGTAATCAAAACATATCCCTCTGTGACTTGCTGTCCCTGACATTTGACGGTAATTTTTCAACAAATGGCCTCAGAATTTTATCTACATTGCGGCTACCGTGTTGTTGTCAACACCGGACACAATAGGGCGGCCAGGTGGGATTTGGAGATTCTTGTGGACTTTGGGCAAGCAGTAGAAGGTTGCTATCCTTGGATGACAATTAAGAATAAATCTGTATTCGTCATTCGACAGCAACCCTCTACTGCGGACCTTGTCCAGAATATTCTTGTATTTCGCCAAGTATACCTCTGTAGGGTCAGAGTCATACCCTATATGTGTCCCCATCGCTCAAAACCTTTTAGACCATTGTCACATTGTCTGTTTTATTCAGAAACACCACTTTACCCCCTTTGTCTGCCGGTTTTATGATAATTTACATAGTTACATAGTTACATAGCTGAAAAGAGACTTGCGTCCATCAAGTTCAGCCTTCCTCACATTTGTTTTTTGCTGTTGATCCAAAAGAAGGCAAAAAAACCCAATTTGAAGCACAATTTTGCAACAAGCTAGGAAAAAAATTCCTTCTTGACCCCAGAATGGCAGTCAGATTTATCCTTGGATCAAGCAGTTATTACCCTACATTGAAAGATTATATCCTTGAATATTCTGTTCTTGCAAGTATGCATCTAGTAGCCGTTTGAACATCTGTATGGACTCTGATAAAACCACTTCCTCAGGCAGAGAATTCCACATCCTGATTGTTCTTACAGTAAAAAAACCTTTCCTTTGCCTTAGACAAAATCTTCTTTCTTCCAGTCTAAACGCATGGCCTCGTGTCCTATGTAAAGTCCGGTTTGTGAATAGATTTCCACACAATGGTTTGTATTGGCCCCGAATATATTTGTATAATGTTATCATATCCCCTCTCAGGCGACGTTTTTCTAAACTAAATAGGTTTAAATTTGTTAACCTTTCTTCATAGCCGATATGTTCCATTCCTTTTATTAATTTTGTAGCCCGCCTCTGCACTTTTTCTAGTGCCATAATATCCTTCTTTAGAACAGGTGCCCAAAATTGCACAGCATATTCAATATGGGGTCTTACCAGTGATTTATAAAGAGGCAAAATTATATTCTTGTCCCGAGAATGAATGCCCTTTTTCATGCATGACAATACCTTACTGGCCTTGGCCACTGCTGATTGACATTGCACATTGTTGCATAGTTTGTTGTCTATAACAATTCCCAAGTCCTTTTCATGTGTTGTTATCCCTAATTCGCTTCCATTAAGGGTATACGTTGCTTGTGTATTCTTTACGCCGAAGTGCATAACTTTGCATTTTTCAACATTAAATTTCATCTGCCATTTGAGTGCCCAGTCTCCCAGTCTATCTAAATCCCTCTGCAGCAAAGTAATATCTTGCTCACATTGTATTGTTTTACAAAGTTTTGTGTCATCTGCAAACACTGAAACATGACTTTCAATGCGGTCTTCAAGATCATTTATAAACATGTTAAATAGAAGGGGTCCCAGAACAGACCCCTGAGGGACACCACTTGCCACCTCTGTCCAGCTTGAAAATTTACCATTAATGACAACTCTTTGTACTCTGTTTTTAAGCCAATGTTCTACCCAAGAACAAGCATTTTCATCTAGACCGATTTCCTTGAGTTTGAACACTAATCTATTGTGTGGAACTGTATCAAATGCCTTGGCAAAATCCAAAAAGATCACATCCACGGCAACACCCTGATCTATACTTCTACTTACTTCTTCGTAGAACGCAATCAACTTGGAAATTTGATCATTATCCCTCAGTGACTTTAATGCCAGTTGTTCTTTTTTTTTGGTATTTAACATACTCCTATAACGTCTGTAATTTTACGATTTGGCAGTTAGTACTTTGAAGCATTTGATGCTTACATAACAGCTACAATATACAACAAGCTGGATAGCCACTTGTGTGTAACGATTCTAACACTTCAGCCCGTTTTGGTGGTACTGCCCCTAAATGCATTGCATGTAATGCCATTCTTTGCCTTCAATCATTTTGAACAGTGTACCTTGTGAATTGCACACAAAAAAAGATAAAAAGCAGGTACAGCAGCACTGACGCCCATTGAGAGGGCATGCACACAAATCCCAATCCACGTGGGTCAGATTTCTATAATTTATGCCCATATCATTTGATCCTCACAAGAGGGTTAATTGTCCTACATGTCGGCTTGGGAGAGAGACTTGGGAACATTGGAGGACCCACAAGACTGGAGGGCCATCTGGGAAGCTACCGCTACAATCTCTGCTTGCATAAATCACAAAGAACAAGCATATAATACACTTATGAGATGGTACTTGACCTCTCTTCGGCTCAAGCAAATGGGAAGATCAGATTCTGATCTTTGGGTGCGGCAGCAAAGGTACTTACATTCATCTTTGGTGTGAATGACCACAGATAGAACAATTGTGGCTGCAAATAACACAATTGCTCTCTAAGGTTCTACACTCTGACATTCCACTAGACCTGTGGATCTGGCTCCTCTCTAAACCCCATGTGGGAACACCATGCACTCAAAATAAACTGATTGCCAAAATTGCATTAGCTACACGAAGGGCAGTGGCAAAGAAATGGGGTAGCCCAGACATGCCTTCTTTGCTCATGGTACAAAGAAAAGTGACTGACGAAATGAAAATGGACAGACTCTCCGCTCTTATACAACAACACACTTTAATAAAAATATGGGAACCCTGGATCTTTGAATTTTCAATCCCCACCTAAGAAACTTGTGCAACTACTCTCTAATTGGGTGGGAGGCGACACCTATCCCACCCTAGTCCCCCACCCACCTCCGCTTCTCCCCCATTCTTTTATCCCCTAGTTACACTTTTCAGGATACGGGTAGGGAGCCCTTCATATAAATCTTGTTCCCTCATCCCCCTTGGTTTTTTTTCTCTTCTTCTCACTCTTCTCCACCTTTTCTTCTTACCCTTAGTCTGAAAGGCTGGCCCCCTCAGACCTCACCCACACAACAGAACCGACCCAATGGGTAATTAGCCTACATAACCTTGCGACTTTAAATACCCTTCATGAGGCACCATCACAGGGGTCAAAAATCCCCCCATTCATTATCGGCACTACGGGTTAAATCTGCAACACATTTCTACCCCCTCTGAGCTTGCCCCCCATACACAATGAAGATGTGAATCTTCCTCCTCCACTTTCCTACATAAACCCCTGTCCCTGATTCATTTATTTGACCTATTCCTTTACGATAAAGGAAATACCACAGCTGTGTTGTCTCCTAGTGTAATCAATATACCTACTTGTACCTGAATTCATATGTACCATGCTATTTGAACTAGCTGCACCTGTGTAATCAGCTATACACTCAAGTGATATGCTTTTAATTTGTTATACCAATGATACTGTAATTTTCCAGATATGTACCCACTTCCCTTTCTTAATTCTGTAATCCCTGTTTTCGCTAAACTAAACTTCCTAGATATTATTCTCCTTAAGCACAAACATTATTGTGGGTTTTTTTTTGGTCTTCTCTCTTAAAACAAAAAACTCTTACCATACGAACATTGATTACTTCTAGATCCTATGCTCATTTTCCAAATACGCAAACTGAAACAGGCATACTAAACAGTGATATATACAAGAGTATACCTAAATTAGCTCCAGAAAGAAAATATTGTAATATATACAAGAATATACCTGAATTCGTTCCAGAAAGAAAATATTGTAACAGAGGGTAAATACCACCTGATGTATAAGCAGAAAACAGATCAAGTAGTTATACACATCTAAATAAAACAAAAACAAAAAAAAGACGTCAGAATAAGCGAGTTTTTCTCCCAATCAAGGGGTATGAGACCTTGCAGAGGATACCTCCATATACTGTGTAGTTCACTGTCATTGTCGCCAGGGTCTGTAATTTTCTGGGCACTGATGGTGTGAAGAACAGAACCGCCAGAGGAATAGATGAAAATAAAAGTGCACTCCATGGTGGAACGCAGCCGGCTGCCAGCTGATCCCGGTTACGAATTGGAGGTGTTATATAAACAAATAATTTTTGATGCTGTCCCAGATCCCATGGAGAAGCCTGGTATCAGATGAAACGCGTTGGATTTTGCTCTGTTGGGACTTTTATATATTTTGTTATTTTACTTTTTTGCTTAATAAATATTTTTATTTTTATCTATTCATAAAACACTTTGAAAAAGCCTTCTGTATAGGTGAAACACATAAGTGTGTTACTTACTTTTCTTTTTATTTAATAAAATTAATCTGCATTGTACCCCTGGATCTTCATTGGACATCTTTTATTGGAGAAACTGTATCTCACATTCCCGGGTGGGGGACAAACCACCTATGCTGTAAAAGACTGAGTTTTGCTCATCCATTGTGAGTATATTTCTCTATTTATTTTTTTGTTTTATTTATACAGAGAACACTATTCCTGTTCTTTTCTATCTTATATATATCACTGGAGCATCATCTGGAATATACCACGTGGATTATTGGTATTGGATATACCAGATATTATTGGATATACCAGAGGAAATAAGGACCATCCTAACATCCACAGATGGGGATTGGACCATGCATACATTGTGATCTGGAGGTGATCTTGAGGTCCAGAAAAGTGTGAGTGCAATATATTTTTTCCTTATATTCTGCAGTTATAGACATACTACACTATATATTAGCATTCCTGTCTCATTTTATTTTCACTCTCATATTGGCTCCATTGGGTTCCACACAAAGACTTTAGTTGTTAAGTGCTGCTTCCCTACATCCCCCGCTTTACAGCAGGGCTGTGAAGGGATATATGTAGATCCCTACGGGGGCCGTGCATCTACAGGGGGTGTCACAAGAGCCAGAGCATGAATGATATCACAGGCTCTGCTGTCTGGGCAGCCATTGCGAAAGAAATTTGATCACAATAAACAAATTCTATTTGCAATGGTTAAAATCCTCTATACACAATTGTGGAGGTATCGAGGTATGGCTGCATACATTCACAATTCTTTAAAAAAAGGAAAATGTTTGCTAAAATTTGCACACAAAAAATTTCAGTGTTTAGTAATTACATATATCATTCACGTGCTTTCAATGAAATGTTAACAAGAAACACAGACATCTCCAAATCAATTATAACCATAAGCAATCATAACTCTCAATAGTGTACTGACTAAGCTGCCATCAAATATTAATAATCACAGGAAGGATGTAGGTGAGATGCAGTAATGCTCATCAGGAGCTTAGCTTGTCTCCACAGCCTATATCTAATTAGATACTTAAATGTTGTAATAGCCTGGGAAGAAGTGTGAAATCTGGAAGTTAAAGGGATATGAAACACTTGAAGGTAATTATTTAAAACCAGCAAGGAAACATTTTTAGACAAATATAAAAAACTAAATAAGGAAATGGACTTTCACTCCAACCAGTGTAAAGATGAACAGCCTGACGTCCTCATGTAAAACCCCGCCTCCCGGAAGTAGCTGATCGTGAACGGAGCCGGTGTTCTATCAGTTTGACTGATAGAACACCGGAATAGTATCTGCAGGATCATCTGAGCAATAGGACCATTCTTTGCCTAAAGGGACCAGGGTGATGTTGGAAGATTTTATGTGTATTTCAATAAAGGCTGTTCATCTTTACACTGGTTGGAGTGAAAGTCCATTTCCTAAAGCTGTTAAAGTTAGAGCAAACTCATTTGCTCTGTGTTTGTGAGTTTATTACCTATCTCACCTACACTTTTGTGTTTTATATATCTAACAGTTTTACACTATATGTGTTGTTTTTTTTGTTATGTTTCTGTTATTGGGGATTTACCTGAAAATATGCTGCTAGTGTAAGTTGTTTTTTTTAATATAATTTTTCCACAATATCACTTTACGTGGTTTTTCAGCTTACACTTTTTTTTGCACTAAAGAGTTGATTACTCACACCAGTTGCTGCTTATATATATATATATATATATATATATATATATAAATATGTCTCTCACAAAATTAAGCACTGTGATTTTGCACTTTGTGCTGCTTTAATATTTTTGCACCTTAAATATAGCGCACCTATTGTTTGTTTTTTTTGTGGTTTTAGGAGTGTTCATTGGGCTGTTTAGGTGCTGCTCCTATTTTTTAAGTTTTTTTTTTTATAATTCTATATACAGCGCCATTTTTTCACTTGTTTGATTGTGTTTTGTAAGCATGTTTGCTGTGCCACAACAGCTGGAGCAAACTGGACGGTATACATAGTAGAACATCATTATGGCATTAAAGGCATTGCATATTTTAAATTAAGTAATCAGGATGAACAAATACGGCATGACACTGTTAGGTGCGTGGTTATAACAAAGAATAATTAGTGAGAACGTATGCGAGGCAGACTTCACTTAAAGGAACACTCCAGGCACCCAGACCACTTCTGCCCATTGGAGTGGTCTGGGTGCCAACTCCCACTACTCTTAACCCTGCAACTGTAATTATTGCAGTTTTTTATAAACTGCAATAATTACATTGCAGGGTTAACTCCACCTCTAGTGGAGTTAACAAATAACGAACATGTACCACTACAAAAGGAACAGACAGCCACTAGAGGGCACTTCCTGCTTCATAGCAAAGATTTTCTTTGCTAGAGCGTCGCTGGATGTTCTCACGCTGTGTGAGGACCTCCAGCGTCGCTCAATTCCCAATAGGAAAGCATTGAAAATAATTTTCAATGCTTTCCTATGGGGAGACCTAACGCGCGTGCGTGGCATTGCCGCGCATGCGCATTAGGTTTCCTCAGCGGGCGGGATCAGTCTCGCTCACCGGCTGACGTAATTACTGGGAGGAGCGACGCCGACTCAAAACCACCGCGGAGGGACATCGGCGGGGTCTCAGGTAAGTGACTGAAGGGGTTTTCACCCCTTCAGCTACCTGGGATGGGAGGTGGGAGGGAGAGGGTACCTGCAGTGCCAGGAGTTTCCCTTTAATGGTACATGCTAGCTTTCAACTGTGCTGTCTGCACCAAACTTAGATTAGGGTTAGACAGTGTGTGATAATAGACAGAGAATGAAATGGTAAAATATTAACATTTTAGAGATTAACAATACACGTGCGTGACATGTGTAGCTGACAGCATATGTAACTCTCTTGAGCTAGGTTCGCTGGTTGTGTTATACGTGTATAAAGATTGAGTTGTCTTAGCGCTAGTGTGCTAGTCTGCGAAATGTGTATTTAAAGGTATAAGGTCACATGTTTAGCGCTCGCTATTCAATTCACCGCCGGGACACAGTTGTTAATGACAGCATGATATAACAATATGGGCCTAATCTCTGGTGAAACACATACATATGTATTTGCATCGAACAATAAGGTAAATGGTGGGGTAGATAGTTAGTCACAGGCTAATCATGTTGAGTAAAACTAATAATATGCAGGTCTAAATAATGCAAGATGGGATAAGTGTTCACAATTCAATAATAACTCATGCTGTGAGGTGAGTATTTGAGTTGTAGGTTGCTGCCAGCGGTCACAATGTCCCATGAGGTGCAAAATGTAGGGACCAGAGCCCAGCACCACATGTCCATTAAGTTAACCCTTTCAGTCTATGCCCACCGGGTGTACAGAACTGTCCAGCATGGGGGTGACTTGCCTGAGGACGGCACGCTCACTTGGTGAGGTGATGATGGCTTTGCTGGCGTGGCAGGGTAGGTGCCCCATCTGGGCTCCCCCGTGGTTGGCTGTAGATGGGCTCTCTGCCGGTTTTGTCCGTTGGTGAATGACCCTGCTGCATCCCAGTCTGTATCTTGTGGTCCAGGGGCAGAGCTTGTCTTGAGCTGGCGGCTGTGTCGTTGCGGTACTGTGCGCTTCCTCCCACCTCTCCGTTGAGCTGGCTTCGGCCTGCCTCTGCTCTTTACCGGGCTCGGTCGGTATGGCCCCCTGGGAGCTACTTGCTGGTGCTGGCGTGTGAACGTGGAGGCGGTCTATGCTGGGTTGGTGTGTGGTGGAGCCGCGATGAGATTGGTGGGCAGGCCTGCGAGGGAGCCATGCCCTGGTGGATGTGTGTGTTGGGCGGCTGCACAGGCGCCGGTTCACTTGATGGGATTTGTGTAGCGGTGGTTGCTTTGTAAAGGTGGGAGGCCATGGTGGGGCAGGTAGGTATAGCTTACCCTCCAGCTTCCTCCAGAATGCCTCGAAATGGTTGCAGATTCGTGGGAGGATATTTCGGCCCTTGCCACGTCTGCCATTTTAGGTAGGTCACCTTTTTCCCGCCTTGGCGCAATTCTGCTTCTCTGTGTGCCCGGGGTAGCCACCCCTGGGTGGACCAAGATCACCCCTGCCGGTTCGCGGGGGGGGGGTAACAGGGTCTTGTGCGGTGGGCAGCTTCAGGATGCTTCCAAGTCAGGGGAGCAGCCGCCTCCCCCGCCTGTCGCGTACCAGGCCACTGTGTCGGTCGTGGTTCCAGCTGGCCCCAATCGGGTCTCTCGACATCCCAACGTGTGCCCTCTGTTGTGGGTGGCAGGTGGGTGTCTGGAGTTGCCATTTGTGTCGCTTTTTTGAGCGATGTTTTCCTCGTTTTGCTAGGTTTGTGCGGGAGATCGTGGAAAATGTGCCTCTCTGCCATGATGTTCAGGCACTGCCCCGAAATGAATTTATTTTGAATTACTTTTTCTAAGCTGAACATTTTATGCACATGCTCTTATTGCCAAAACTGTGAAAAAAAAATTGTTGTTTTTTGGTTTTTTTTCCCATTTTTTGGCATTTGTTTTATAATTAATGAGAATTTATCTATGTAAATGTCACATAAAATTAAAGCCCCCTTTACCCTCTAAAAAAAACAGTATATAATATGTATTGGTGCAATAAATGATAGAGATGCAAATTGCGTTTGAACACAAACAGCAAGATATGCAAAAATAGCTTGTGTCCTTAAGGGTAAGTACAGTTTTTGAAGCTGCGTCCTTAAGGGGTTAAAGAAAGGAAGGTCTATTAAAAGACAAAAGAAGGAAACAAAAAGTGAAATATACAGAGACTATTCTTCCAGAAGGTCATATTTTTTCTAATTATGACCTGGGGAATGAAAATATTAAAAACAAACTACCCCTACCAAGTTAATGTTAAAGGAAGAGATGCCGTGTCCCCCTTTAGCATCTATTTCACTGACCTAATGTATTTTCCTTCTTACATAGATGGATGCATGAATGCATAGATAGATCAAATAAACAGAAAATATAGACATTTTGCTAAAACAGGAATCATGTTCTTTAACATTTTATCTGCATTTACTTTCATACATGTATTAGTATAATTTGTTATTTATGAGGTGCCTATATATTCTAAGTGCTGTACAATAGAGGAAATAAAGACAAATAACGAACATGTACCAATACAAAAGGAACAGTGGTCCCATATGAATGATCCATATCAATATTCTGAAGAATAGAAGAATGGTAACAAAAATGATGAAACTATAAGCCAGTTCAAATAAAGATTTTTTTTTTTTACACAAGAAAATGAATTACCGTTTCCTGTGGGCTTGTCTCTGACACAATCACTGTCATAGATGCATTTATACTTTGTATCAGTCTGTAAAGAGATATAGAGATTTGTGATAGATAATTAAAAACAAATAGCATTTTCCCCAAGATTCTCTTTTTTTTTCTTACCTCTGTGCAGAAATCCTGAACTTGATTCTGTGTAGTTATAAGCTTTGTAAGAATAACAAATACAGAGGAACCCTGCAAGGAGATTAAGAACAAAAAAAGGTTAAGCTATTATAGCCTTTTTCTTTTTCATTTTGGTTTTCAATGCTCTACAATTCATTGCTTAGTGAATAGACCAATTTGACATCTAGTTATTACCTGTGGTGGTGTAACATAGTCAGCCACGTCCATCACCCTTCTGCTATAACGTCCAACACCTTTTACTTTTGTCATTACAGATGACTCTATGGAGGAGTCACGAATCTGATAAGCTTTCTCATGGAGAAACACCCAGCTAGGAACAAAGTAAAAGAGAGAAAAATCTATCTTGAAAAAAGCATCTGTAGTTTAAATCACAAGATGTGTATGTATAAAACATAGAAAAGACACAACCCAGAACAATCATATAGAATAGTGTTAACCTGCATAAATGATATAAATATATTCTCATAGATCCTGATCTTTAGCTATTGTGGAGGGTATGGAGTCAGTAGGCTGGTTTTGGAAGGTCGGATAGGAAGATATAAATATCTGTAGGACAGGTAGATATAATATCTTAATTATACAATGTATTAAAACATTATCATTTAAGCCAATTTAACATAACACTGGGATTTCCTTGTTATAAAATCACTGATTTGTAAATTATGAAATTGCATCTATGCTATTGGTTTTACTTAGCAAATTAAGCTTTGTTACAGAAAGAATCAAGGTTAACTTGAAATCATGAAGATAAGATATGGATGCATGAATTGTGTTTAATGTGATCAAGAATGAAAAGAATTTTAGAATGAAAAACAGAAATAATATTGTTAAGGTGCAGATACACCAGCAATATCACACAATATGTCACACAGATCATACATTTGCAAATGAGACAATAAACCACAAACCTGCACAAATATCAACCATTTTATGTAAACTACACATAGTACCACACAAGTCATAGTTACCACACACTCAGCTACCAAAAAAGTGAGCAAACACTAAAACTATATGATGTCAAAACAAACAGGGTTACTGCTACTTTGACCTAAAATTTGAAATTCACTTTGAATTCTCACTTTAGTGAATAACCTGGAAAGACAATTAGTTGGAATACAGTCTTCCACTTACCAAACAAAGTATGTTATAATAAGGAGCTGCACTGCTCTATTGATGATTCCAATTGTCCAGCTTTTTACCACTACTGATTTGGTGGTTTCGTAAGTGAAGAAGTCAGTCACACAACCCATATTGTTAGATATTTCCAGGTCTTTCTCCCTGGGATAAGCACTTCTTCAAATATCTTCAGCCGTTGACCAGTGGATTATTCTGTGCTCAATGATCACAAAAAGTGAGGCATCTGTGCTTGTGTTTTAAGTTGATAAACTTGGTTAAGAACACATAACTGTAAAGTCTCTTCAGCAAAATAAATGTTTCTTCTTCTAGTAATGTCGCTCCGAAACATTAACAATAATGTCACTCACCCTTCTTCCCCTTATTGTTCGAGATACTGATGAAGGTGTTCAGGCCTGGTCAACAGAACCGTGTACTTACTGGGATACCATTTAAACACTATAATTTTACCCTACCAATTCTCTATATTTCCTGACTGTTAGAGGTCTTATTCTTTGTGTTCGTCTTGTTTTTTTTCCTCTCACTGTCTTCTTTTCCACGTGCCTTTTGCCTGATCTTTAAGTGATGCTTCCTCACTTCTGCTGCTGATGTAACCAGGGGCTGCTCTGAAAATCCCAATGGACCGAACGTTAAAACATTTCAATTTGCCAAACTCAATTACTGCCGATGAATGCAGAAGTAAAATAACATCAAGAGACAGGGGGTGGGAGGAAAAAGGACACCTCTTTCTGACTAGAGATTGTTGAGATGGAAGAGAGATCACAATTTACACAGAACAGGGATGTGGATTTGTTATAAAGATGTTGGCGGTAAGTGAAATAAAGCTTTCTGTAAAGTGGTAATTACCATTCACCATTAGGATACTCTGTATCCGTTCAATGAGAAAGGTGCATACAGCAAAAAGAAATATGTCAACTATTTCATAGCATTATTTACCAAGGCTTAAACTCTCATTTGAAAACATTGTTACAATAACCAAATTGTCAACTCCAAGAAAATAAAAACTGCAAAACTTGTTTACTGATGGTCCATATTTCATTTTATTACATTTGATTCACTAGAAGTTTTTTTTTTTGTTTTTTTTTAAATAGGCATAATTACTATTTAGATATTTTTTAAGGATTGTTTGCTCCCAAATTCATCAACAAAGATGATTTAGGACCAAATAATTTACCTAATTGGCAGGCAATATCCAGGGATATAAAATATTTTTAAGATACTGTTTGATGCCTTCGGGATCTTGGTCAGGAAAATGTTTTTTGTTTTTGACATTCCTCATGTTAGAGCTGAAGGGGTTCATATTTCATTTTATTACATTTGATTCACTAGAAGTGTTTTTTTTTGTTTTTTTTTAAATAGGCATAATTACTATTTAGATATTTTTTAAGGATTGTTTGCTCCCAAATTCATCAACAAAGATGATTTAGGACCAAATAATTTACCTAATTGGCAGGCAATATCCAGGGATATAAAATATTTTTAAGATACTGTTTGATGCCTTCGGGATCTTGGTCAGGAAAATGTTTTTTGTTTTTGACATTCCTCATGTTAGAGCTGAAGGGGTTCATTGTTATTTATAAACAAAAATTCTATTGTATCTCACCGGGAAAGCAACAACTGGCCTTTTTTAAATCAACCCTCCAAAACTTGGAGTTAATTATTTTAACTCAGTTAACCTGTTAGTAACAAAAGAGGTTGCTATTGAAAACCTTTTCAGTGTGTATATGGAGGGTTGATCTTACTTTGGGTACTACCGCTAATAAGTAGAATGAAGTTGCATAATTCTCCCCACTGTAGAGTTAAAACAAAATTAATGGAGCTAAGAGCCCTTAATAACTTGTGTGCTTGTTAATTTTATAAGTGTCGAGCCAGCATCAGTCTATCTCCACAGGCTAAACTGAATGAATAATAAATCACATAAAAATTTAAATACTATTTTTGTTGCAATGGTATCTTTTGGTGAAAGAAAAAAAATAGACATTTTTATGTTTACTATCGAATAAAAACAAATAACCGTATTTGACACAAAAAAATAATACTTTTATAAATGTATATGCATATCCATTATGCTCAGATAATGGCAACGCAGGTAAGGCAGCTGATTCAAGTACAGAATTTAGTGCAACAACATACATTTCATGTTTTTTTGAGGACTGTTGTTGGCAACAAACATAGAAAAGGGGATTCCAGGTCCCTAAATGTAATTAATTATTGAATATCATTGAATAATGCATAATTATTACACCCTTGCTGTTTGGTACAGGCAAACAAATGTTGAATCCTCTCACCACTGTAGTTCATAAATCAGAAAAGTGCAACTCACTCAGTTTTAACATTCACAACATATTTCCTCTGTTTTAATTCTTACACATATCTAATTCTTGTGTATTTTGTCTGTTTCTGATTTATCAGTTTTTTTTCTCCCTTTGTAAGCAAATCTCCTTTATGACAGTGCTCCTCCCCATAACATCTGCTTTCTCTTGGAATTTCCATCTCTAGGATACAATTAATGTTCTGTGTTTCCTGCCCAGGGAAAACCCCAGAACTAGCATTAACACATCAAAGTTTTTTTCTCCTAAGGCATCAAACAATTAAGACATCAGCAGTTTCATTTCACATCTAATAAAATAGCCCTCTTAACATAATGGCCACATCCATTATTCTTTAATTATATATACAGCACATATCTTTAGTTAGGTTTTACAGAATATAAAATCAAAGTGATAAAGCCAGAAGAATTACAGACAAAAAAAGCTATTCTTAAATATATAGGCACAACCTTCAATTAGAACAAATGAAAGGAAAATGCAGGTTGCACAAAAAACAAATAGCTATCACAAGCAATTAAAAATTATGAAAACGAGTGTAACGGGATATAGTCCATCATTTTCTGCACCCAATAAACATGTTTCCAGTAGTTGGACTTAGATCCACAGGTACATACAAAAAAATAAAAAAAATAAAAACCACTGGTGCAGATTTATACAAAAAGATATATGCACAATTCATGTACACTTTATAAATACCCAATCACATTTTACAGAGCTTCTGTAGACCAGTTCTAGTTTATATAGCATGCAGTAAGATAAATTCAATTGTGGGCGCATGCTTTTTGTGAGTAACAGCCAATAATGACCAGTGGTAGGCAATGAAAACGTTTTCAAAAAATAAAAAAATAAAAGCAATAATGTAATAAATAAGAGATGCACTCACAGTGGAAGAGCTTGTATGAATAAGCTCAATGTATCAGCAACTATATATTTTTTTTGTGTTCACCTACTACTGCTCTGTCATGCACCCAAGCCCTATCTAACAGTCTTAGCAACATCCAGAGGCCAGTGGTGTATTTTGGATTTGTGCTGCCCTAGGCATGACTAAATTCGGGCACCCCCAAAATCTAAATTTGATCCCCCAATTCGTGTCAAGGACACTTTTTTGACTGACAGACACATGCCTTCATTGATACATGCACTGATATACACTCACTGACAGATACACAGTAATTGGCACACACTGTTTAACCAACACACACTTTCACTGACACGCATACACTCTCAGATACACATAAAATGACATACACACACTCACAGGCACACCCATTCTCACTGAAAGACACAATTTCACTCACAGCCCCAGAACACAAGGCAAGCAAGGCATTTGTCTGGGAGCTTGGGGTAGCATTTTTTGGCGCCCCCCTGAAAGTGCCACCCTAGGCAAATGCCTTGTGGTAAATACATCCCTGCCAGAGACAAGTAAATAAGCCCTTGGTGGATCTTTTCTTTTTTATGCAAGTTAGTCTAGCACATTATATAGTACAAATAAGCACTCACCATGTCTAGTATTTCTTTTGTGCTCTATCATCGAAATACCACGTCACATACCAAAACCCAATGTTTATGCCTTTATTCAGCTTGTTTTTCTCTTCCTATTGTGGCGTTGCAAGCTTCATTGTACACTCATGCACCCAAAAATAAAGAATATTAAAAAAAAAAAAAAAACTTCCACTGTGAGTGCATCTCTAATATATCACACTTACAGATCATGAGAAGAGATTAACACTTAAAAAAAAAAAAAAAAAATTATTACATTCCTAAAACATCATACTCCAAGTCCTCTTAGTTTTTTTTTTTTTTCCTGTGTGTACCTGTGGATCTAAATCCAACTTTACTGAAAGAAAGATACAGGAAATTGCAGACTATATCGAGTTGGACTCTTTTTAAAAAAAATAATTTTCGATTTCTTGTAATATGTATTTGTTGTTTGTTCTGCTTGTTCTTGTCTTAAGGGGGATTAGAGAGTTCCCCCTCCTTAATAGTGATTGCTGCCTTATTTAACGCACTGTTGATTTGCCTAGTGTTTATCCATACCTGCATTTCTATTTTTATTTTTTTTATAATTCAAATACAACAGTGAAAATAAATTAATACATTATTTTATTTTAATACATATATACTCGTTTTTCTGGCACTATAGTGCCCTGAGGGTGCCCCCACCCTCAGGGTCCCCCTCCCGCCCGGCTCTGGAAGGGGGAAAGGGGTAAAAACTTACCTTTTTCCAGCGCTGGGCGGGGAGTTCTCCTCCTCCGATCCTCCTTCTCTCCTCCCCGTCGGCTGAATGCGCACGCGTGGCAAGAGCTGCGCACGCATTTAGCCGGTCACATAGGAAAGCATTATCAATGCTTTCCTATGGACGCTGGCGTGCTCTCACTGTGAAAATCACAGTGAGAAGCACGCAAGCGCCTCTAGCGGCTGTCAGTGAGACAGCCGCTAAAGGGAATGGGGGAAGGCTTAACCCATTCATAAACATAGCAGTTTCTCTGAAACTGCTATGTTTATAAAAAAAATGGGTTAACCCTAGCTGGACTAGGCACCCAGACCACTTCATTAAGCTGAAGTGGTCTGGGTGCCTAGAGTGGTCCTTTAAGTGGAGGATGTGTAGGATGAGAGAAATCAGACTTTGGTTTTTGTCATCCCACACTAAAATAACTAGTTTACAAGGTTCCAAGAACCACATTTAACTCCAAAAATACTTCAGATAGCTGACATATGCTTTTAATTTTACAAAACCTGAACATTTAACGTCACCCCACCCATCGCCCAGGTATATTACTAAGAGTAGTACTAGAAACTGCAAGATGGTTCTGTGTTTTGAACCTCTGGATCAGAACCTTCATTTGGGCCTCAGTTGATTGAAACACACACATCTGTCAGGTACGATAACTGATGGCAATTATTGATTTACTTGGCTTAAGGAGAAATCTGATTTCAATTCTCAGGTTGAGAAGGAACTTATTCCTAGTTTGTTGCAAAATAGGAAATCCTTCAAACTGTATTTTTTTTTTTTTGCCTACTTTTGGATCAACATCAAAAACAGATGTAAGAAGGACTTAACTCATTTTCCTGGCACTATAGCCTCCACCTTTGTCAAGTCCCTCCCCGTTATCCTTTGGGGATTCCGGTGATGAAGGAAGTTCTCATGCATAGCGTGAGGATGTCTAGCATCGTTCAGGTGACCAAAAGTCGCCTTTAACTCTGGAGGTCCCTCTAGCGTCTGTCTGGTAGACAGCCACTAGAGGAGGCATTAATCCTAGCAGGTAATTATTGCAGTTTATTAAAACTGCAATAATTACCACTCTAGGGCTAAGGGTAATGGGAGTTTGCACCCAAACCACTTCAATGAGCTGAAGTAGTCTGGGTGCCTACAGTGTTCCTTTTCAGCCTATGTTAATAGAATAAAAACTCTAGAACAGGGGTCCTCAAACTCCGGCCCTCCATATGTTGCTGAACTACAACTCCCATGATTCTCTGGCTATGTAATTCAAAGAATCATGGGAGTTGTAGTTCAGCAACATCTGGGGGGCCGGAGTTTGAGGACCCCTGCTCTAGAAGTATTTGCTTTCCTCATTGCAATGGTAAACCCTGCAACACTGACTTGGGAAGAGTATAAAAGTTTTGAGGAAATTTTAGCAGTTGAAGAATCAGTCAACAAGCTAGTGCTATTTAGATCATTTGGGCTCTTGTCAAAAAAGTGAAGAACCACATCTAGAGATTTGTATTTGCTGCGTAAAACTATACAAATGATATTAAACTCTTAGTTTATTAACCCCTTAAGGACACATGACGTGTGACATGTCACGATTCCCTTTTATTCCAGAAATTTGGTCATTAGGGTGTTAAACTGCTTAGTCCACACTCCCTATCTTAAATATAATTTAATTTTTTTTTTTCAATTACCAGCCATGCAGTCATGAATTTTTCATCCTCGCCTTCACTCTGCCCTGCTTTCTCCTACTAAATGAGGAATTTTCTTTAATGGATTCTGAGTTATATGCCTAGTGTTTCTTACTATTTGTGGTTAGCAGGATTCACATGAGTTTGAGTGTCGTATCATATATATGATACCCCAATATATATATATATACACACACACACACACACACACACACTTATTTTCATATATATTCTACAGGGCTTCTCTTTTTGCCAGCCATCTCATTCCAAGCAGTCAAACCAGAATGTAACTCTTTAAAGATATAATAGAAGGTACAAATCGGAATATCCCAGAAGAATGCCAAAAACAAAGGGCTATTCTGCAATGACATAATAGCATAGTATGCCTTAATGGATTTGTGTGTGGCTACGCCCCGGCCACTTTTAAACATTACACTTGTAATGATATAAAAATCCTGATTATTCACTGTTACAGAATAGTCTACTGAGGGCTCCACAGCCATCCTTTTCTATTTCTACTGTTCTGAGAATATGTAAAGGGTCACACCAACCACACTGCACATCCAGTTATTTTTTTTGTGCTGGGGACTAGTTGCATCCCCTGCCCACGTGATTCGGGCAGCCCAGTTCCGGGCTCCCTAATGTAAATTACGTGCACATTTTACATCTGTCACCAACAGACGTAAAAATTGACTCTACCTCCATGTGCTCCCTCATGAGCAGAGTCCTTGTCTTCAATAAGCACTCTCTGTATTCTTAACCCCCTTTCCCCCCCCCCCCCCCCCCAAACAGAAATGTTGCCTCTCTGTTATTGCCTTTTAAAAGACAGTGTTAGGAACACTCAGAGGAGTTGATTCTTGCCTGGAAGGAGTGATCAGAAGAGGTAATATCTGGTTTAGTGGGTAGAGAACAGGACTTTACCCTTAAAATTTGTGATGGTCTCCGATACTAAAAGAAAAGGGACGTACAACAAGTTTACCCTGTTCCATTTTATCACTGCAGTAATTTAAGCAGTGTGGGCGGTATGTTCTTTAGGATTTAACTTCAATGTGACTGTATACTTTCTTTTTGGAAATATGCTAGGTTTTTACTTATTCAGTTACATTTACAGAGGCTGCATAGCGTGCTACTGCTATGCACTATGGCCTCATGTATGTTCAACACATGCATCTCTTCATGCAGAAAATTCAATATCCTTATTACCCTTAATGTAAAAAAGAAAGAAACAATGTTTTTTTTATTTGCCCAAGACTAAATCTTCTTTCTTACAGTCTAAATGCTTGACCTTGTGTCCTATATGTATAGTCCTGTTTATGAATAGATTTACAGATAAAGTAATAGGTCTCAGATATATTTGTATAATGCTATAATTTACTTTAACAAAGTAGGAATTACTTTGTATCTGTATATTTCCTCTGCCTGACATTTCTAGACACTGGACAAAGCTACCATCATCTAGGAGTGTCCATCCCCCAGTCGTTAGTGACAGCTGCAGAGAACTGGCTCTGTCTATGGAGGATCCTGTGGTCTCGTAGGATCTTCTATAGACCTCAATGTTGTACTCTTGTATATGAGCACAGTAGTGCTCTTGGCGATGAAGCGCCAGGAACTGAATAGAATTCGCTGTGCCCGCAAAGGACAGGTTTAGGCAAGTAAAACTCACCTGCCACCCACAGCCACCGAAATCCAAGTGACGATAGGACCACTAGTGGGCTTTGTGAATCCTGCAAAGTCCCCAGACAGTACAACTTTAAATAGTACCAACACATATTGTGCGCACATGAAAATGTTAACCAATCAACACATATAAACATCTGAGTGGCTGAACATGTACATGAGTGGATAGCGTATATTTCCCCTATCAAGCCCTGGAAGGTACACTCATGCTAAGCAGCCCCTGTATTTTGTCGGAACAATATACTAAATTGTTTGCACCATTTAGTAAACAGTTCCCTTGATATCAGTAAAACAAAAAAACAAAAAACGGTCTGACAAGTTAGTTACGCACACTTTCTATTAAATTGTGCATGCAAGAAACCTATATTAGGAACAAATTAAAGAAAAACTAAGAAAAATGGAAAGAGCTGTCCATTACAAAATTAAGATAACATGCATGAATTTTCCTAAAGATGTTTTAAATACATTGCTGGATTGTGAAATGGGCTCCAATCTTCTGTTAAGACATTGGATGCACTTTACTTGCACTCAGGAGACTCTACTTAAGGTTCTTTAACTGAATTATACACACTTAGCGTCCACGAGGCGTCTTTTAAGTGCTAAAGGGCAAAGAGGGGGTGTAAATTGTAAAGAATCAAATTACTCATTGCTTTTATCACACATATAGGAGCGGAAGTGAAAACACCAAAACAGGAAGGAAACCTAGAAATTTTATTACAAAAGAAAGGAGAAAAAAAAAAGGTTATAAGCAGGTTCTAGCTTCAATTACACATAGAAATGTACACATCTTCCCATATTTAATAAACACTCCAATGCTGTCCCAACATCACAACACTGATTTGTAAGAATGATTCGTGACACCATGTCCTCTGTGGGCCCTTAATCTGAACCAGATTCATTGGAGCTTGGAGGAGTGCTGGCTATCTCTTCATCTGATCCCTGAAATAAACAAATACCATTTTAACAGTAACATTAAGTAAGGCAATGTTACATGATTCAGCAAACATTCTAAATATCCAGTTTCTCACCTTCTTGTTTGTGCTTTCCTCAGATGAACTTTCATCACTGGATACAAACTCTTTGCTTTTGAAGGATTCTGTACTGGGTTTAGTGGGTGTCTTCGCTGGAGGAGAGCCTTTTGAAGATTTCTGTTTCCTCTTTTCAGGCTTTTCATCTTTCTTCTTTTCTTTAGATTTTTTAGATCTAACAAAAAAAAAAAATCAGATTTGCAAATATACAATGCATATTCTCAAATAAAATCACAGTTTGATAAAATTATTCATACTTCTTGCTGGACTCTGAGGGTGCACTATCTTTATATTCTTTCATGGCTTTTTCGTAAGCTCGCTTAGCTTCCTCAGCTTTACGGTCCCATTCCTACCAAAGAAAGACCAGTAAAAATTTGTTACAAAATTTAAAGTGTGTTTGTGTAAATCACAGTGTTAATGAGGGAGAAAATTAAATACTAGTTTTAGCCACAAAAGGAAAGCATATCTATTAAATATTCCACCACTATAAACAAAATTACTAGCTTTAGACTTCAGGCAATTACTTCATATACTTCGTGCCCACTCTGACACAATTGGTCCTGCATTGAAACACTTCTCCAAGCTGGGACAATGAGGCTCTCACTCTGACTTTATTATCAATGTATTAGTGTGAGAATTAAGTGACATGTACTGTAGCTGACACAGAGCAAGATAATGATTTGTAGGAGGGTTCTCCCTAAATTCTGATAACTGTGAAAAGTAAGAGGAAGGACCGTGTTTTATGTACATGATAACGTGTATTAATTTGCTGGCAATTCTGCTAGCACAATGTGCAGGTCAAATACAGAGTAGTTTAATTTTTTTGAAAACCTGTTTAAGCTTGAAGCGCATTTTGGCACACACTGGTGCCTTTGCGGCAAAATGTGCATCAAGCTTATACTATTGTTTTATCTCAGAAAGTGGTGTTTCATTTGGGGGCTATCTGATCTGGCTAGAGGGGCCCAGTGAAGTTTAGTTTGGACTGCCTCGAAGCAGTGATAGACTATTAGGTTAGATGTGATACCGGTCTCTTATTGGGAGTTTTATTTCTCCATTAAGCCATTTTCTATACATTTCCCTGTTTGACAAGGTTGACCTCATCTTATGAGCCTTTATATTAATTTTAGAACTATTAGAATAGAATAGTCTTACCTGTCTGTTTGATTTTCTTTCTACCAGTAAGCTTTTGGTTATCTCTGTTACTGATATAGAGGTTTAATAACTGCAGATGGTTCACCGTAATCTTTTTAAGCTTGGAAATTTCATCTCTTATATCTAATGATTATACACTAATTGTGAAATTCCATCTCTTATTAGATACATTTGTGTATTTCCTCTATTGATATTTATTTGTATTGATAATCATTAATTATAATCCATTCTCCACAAGTAAGGACTTTTTCTAAATATAGCAGTGCTATTACTTTTATAAAACTCTGGACTCTACTTATATACTGACACATATCAAACATAATATACGATTTCAAGCATTTATTCAGTTCCAATCATAAACCTTTATTCCAACTGCAGCAAACTGTGGTTTAAAATGTGATCACTGTATCCTTTAACCCCTTAAGGACCAAACTTCTGGAATAAATGGGAATCATGATAAATTCACGATACAGAAGCACTTTTTTTTCTAATAGCCCTTGCTACAAATGATTCCAGTGACATGACTAATTTTCCACCTAAGCTAGCATGATCAGAGAAAAAAAAAAAAAAAAATATTTTGTGAATGCCCTGGTCTATTAACATTAGGTGCACTTTGAGCACTTTTTACATCAACACTGTTGGGTGGTTAAGAGTATGCTTCTTTTTTCCTTCACTTTACAGTTCACATTTAGAAATTACTAAGAAAAGATACGTTTTACCAGTGGTAATTTTTTGTGGAGCTGGTCTTTATTAGTTGTTTATTTCAATAAACTTTAAAATAGAGTCAAAATGTTTTTTAGCTGTAGCACATTCTGTAACTGAGGCTTACTATGTAAATTTTGGCCATTGTAACTTTCGATAGCATGCTACCCCGTGCAACCTAGTAGACGGACCTGCATTTCAAGGCCAAGTTCACTCTGCAGCCCAATTTGCCTCTGGTGACGTTGCATCGCCTAACTGATCCCAGAGGACAGGCTGAGGGGAGGACTTTGACAGCAGAGAGGTAAGGCTGTATGCGGACAACAGATGCCCAATATGCACAGAATTCAGATTAAAGGGACACTATAGTCACCAGCACAACTACAGCTTAATGTAGTTCTGGTGAGTATACGCTCTGCATGGAGACGCTGATATTTTCTCAGAGATGCATTGATTCAATGTACCTCTATGAGGAGGTGCTGTTTGGGCAAAATGGCGTGTGGCCCGCCCCATGGCGATTTTAGCTAATCCGATGCTTTACCTACAGATTAACGCCAGCGCCGGCGGACCCACGCTGTGTTGAAAATAAGGTATGTTCTAATCCCTTCTAAAAAGGGGCCAAGCCACCTAAATGGTGGTTTTAACACTACAAGGTCAGGAATACATGTTTGTGTTCCTGACCCTACAGTGTTCCTTTAACGCTTGTTCCGAAAAAGCGAATGATACTGCTGGAGGTAGAGGTAAAGTGCTTTAAAGCTGTACGTGTGGTGTTTTTTATTGAAACGCTAAACATACAGACTCCAAGCATCATGACCACGTCAAATCATTAAAGTGATAAAGTTAGAGCATCTCTTTAAAGTTGCATTTGATACAGAAAGCTTACATTGATTTAAGAAAAAAAAAATGTTTAAATTAATTTGAGGGCCCTGTTTAATAAGCGTACATGCAAGAAGGAGTGGGGTAAAGTGACACAAAAGGTAAGGATAGTATTAGACTAATGACAGTTGCAACAGAGGAGTCAGTCGAGAGCTATTAACAGTTTAACTGATACCCTTTTATGAAGAAGTGGGTTTTTAATGATTTTTTGAAGGAGTTGAGACTGGGTGAGCAGGAGGAGGAAAGGGAGTTCCACAGGAACGGTGCAGCCCTCAAGAAGTCTTGAAGACGAGCATCAGAGGTGGGAGTACGGACAGAAGATAGATGTAAGTCTTCTGCAGAGCGTAAGAGCCTAGACGGGACATACTTCTGTATTAGGGAGGATAGATAGGTGGGAGCAGCATTATGTAGATATTTAATGATACTCCCACCTATCTATCCTCCCTAATATACCAGTCTAGGCCCCCCATCTAGGCCCCTATGCTCTGCCGAAGACCTGCGTCTAAACTCTGTTCGTACTCCCGCCCCTGATGCTCGTATCCAAGACTTCTCTAGGGCTGCACCGTTCATGTGTCACTCCCTTCACTTTTCCGTTAGACGCTCACCCAGTCTCCACTCCAAAAAAAACAAAAAAAAAAAAAACAAACAACAAAACATTAAATACCTAACTTTTTCACAAAAGCATATCAATTAAACTGTTAATGGCTCCAAAAAAAAACCCTCACTAAGTCTTCACTGAATACTATTCTATCAATCTACTTCCCTTACCTTTTGTGTCATTTTACCCCATTCCCTCTAGCATGAACCCCTCTGTTTCGGTGTGTCAAACTTGTCTGTTTACAATTACATGTTTGTTAGTCCATCCAATGTAAAACGCTATGGAATTTGTTGTCGCTATAAGAATATAACGCTAATAATAACAATAATTTGCATACATTTTTTAATGTATGTAGAATGCTCTGTGATTTGGATTTTATATTTCCCCTGATGATCCCGTGCATTACAGTTAAATATTTTATTGTTTTCATTGTTGTCTATATGTTTTATGTACTGCTTTGAATCTATCACATTAAAAGGGATACAATATTTTTCAATTTATATTTTATTGGTGCGATACTTGCAATAACACATTTTTTTCATTGTATGGATTATAAGAATAAGACATATGTATGGCTTCACATCCTGGCTGGGGGCGATTAAAGTCACATTAGAATTCTCAACAACTTAGCAAGTGTATATTTGGGAGAGTGTCACTGTACTTGTACTTGTCGGGAAAGTCCAGTGAGTTAGACCAATGTCTCTTCTGTTAAGAGAGACATTGACCAGGTGTGGTATGCATGCAAGAAAGGGGGCTTATGTAAGTGGTTAAGTGCTATGGAGGTACCTTATGGAGGGTGGGTGTAGGTGCGTTAGGCGGGAGCTAGGCGTTTTATCTTCCCTCTTTTGCGCTGGGTTAGGACCCCTGGTGGTTGCTGGTGAGGTCTCACGGTGCTGGCTTTAGGAGTACTTTGCTCTCTTGGACAGGCCGGCTAAGCTTCCCCTGGTTTTGACAGTGTCAGGTTCAGGCTCTTGAGGAACGCGTCCAGGTCTCCGGACGAGGCCAAGGTCAATATTGTGTCGCCTTGTGGGACCTCCAGCGTTCCGTCTACTCTCCATCGGAATTTAAGATTTGCGTCTCGCAGTCTCTTTGCAACCGGGGCCAGCTGCCTTCTTTCCAGTAGTACCGCGAATGGCAGGTCCACATAGATCACGAGCATGCTGACCTCGAACCGGATGTGGCCGATATCTCTGGAGCGGGTCATGATTGCTGATCTCGCCACCACATCCGTTGTCACTGCTATGAGGTCTCTGGGTGCTTCCATGGGTGCCGTCACTGATTTGCGTATCCGGAACGCTGACACCTACAGCGGGTTGCTCTCTCCCCTCTTTAGACCCATGGAGGCCAGCATTCTCTGCAGGAAGGGGAGCAGCTCTGTCCCTCCAATTTGCTCTGGGACCCCTCTGATGCGCATGTTTTGGCGTCTGTGTCTGGAGTCTAGCACCGTCACCTCCCGAGTAAGTTTCTGAATCTGGGTGGTCAATTTTACCAATTGGTCTTGTGTAGTCTGCATCTGGGTGTCCAGTGTAGTTTCCCTGGACTCAATTCTGTGTTTGAGCGTACCCAGGTCTGCTTGGGCCTCTTGGAGGTCAGCCAGCCATATTTTTCTGAAGTCTTGCAGGAGATTTCTTATGTCTCTTCGTGTTGCTGGCGAAGAATCCCCCTCTGTCTCAGAGTCTGTCTGTATACTGCTGCCTGTCGGTGAAGGAGTCCTCTCTTCCCATTCTCGGGATTCCTCCGAGGTTTCTCCTTCACTCTGGGCTTCCGACGCCATCTTGGGGGGAGCCTGTGGAGTGGGCCTCTCGAATGAAAGCCTGATATCGGGCATTCTTGGTGTCTCTTGGTGCCTGATTTTTAAATTTTCTTACCACATAACGGTCTCTGAGTGTGGGGACGTGGGATGTCAGCTTGTAGGTGCTTATTATTTCTTTTTTTTCTTTTTGCAGTGCTTTAGCAGAGCTCGTCTCTTAGACGTCTGTACTGTTGCTCAGTCAGCCACGCCCCCGTTTTTGTAAAGCATATATACTCCTTCGGTGCTGCTTGATGCGCATGTGCACCAGAACGCTGCATCCAAGCTTCTCCATAGGAAAGCATTGAATTAATGCTTTCCTATGAGAGCTTCCGCGTCAAGTGAGTGAGGTTTACTTGGTCAGTGCCATGGAAGCACCTCTAGTGGTTGTTAGTATGACAGCCACTAGAGGAGGATTTAACCCTGCAATGAAACATTACAATTCCATAAAAACTGCAATGATTTACATTGCAGGGCAAGGAGAACAGGATCACTGCACCCTTGCCACTTCAATGAAGTGGCTTGGGTGTCTAATTTAAATGGTTGAATTAAAAGACCATTAAAGTGCTATAGTTCCAGTTTAGAAATAAAAAAATATAATTCACTTCCTTTTTCCAGTGTTGGAGCAGGTTGCTTTCAAGGAGCACAGCGGAAGAGTCGAAGGGCCTGTCTTCTGGCTGCACTGCTCCCTGGTATTTGGGATCAGCTTCAGAGTTATAAGATCTGTAGGCAAAGATCTAACCCTGAAAGCTAAAAAGTGTCAAAGATAGTGTGGGGTGATTGGTTCCTGGGTGAGCAGACCAAGCAAGCATTGGGACCAATTCCTGACCGAGTTGAAGCAGTAGACAAACGTATCAATTTCGGTCTGAAAGATAGTGCCTGATCCCGGAAAAGAAGGGACAGAAAACATGGTGGGACAGGTGTTGATTAGGTATGTGCCCAGTGGGATTTCCTCCTCTTGGGGTGCTTAAACAATCACAAATGGAGAATTGAGAGGCCCCTCTCAGACCACAGCAGTCCAGTGGATTCAGCTGACTGAATGTACCACATTGAAAGACATGTTTGAATCCAGAGGGCAGACAGCCAGCAACAAAATTGTAAGGCAGTGGTAATAACCACACTCTTGGAAAGAGACTGTGAGAGCACTAAGCGCTAATCTGCCCACTGAGAAGGTATTAATCAAGAAACTCAGGTGTTGCATCTTTGTTTTTGGACTAAAACTTCACAGGAGACAAATCTAAAGGTGATGGGAAATTTACCGGAGTTGATGCCTGGGGGAGCTAGTACACTCCGAGAACAAGAGGTACGAGAAAAGAAGCAATTTCCCTTCTAGGAATTTAAAACCTTTGCTGAAGGAAGAGAAGATACTGAGGGCTCTGTTAAGGACTTTGAAAAACAGTGTGGATTACAAAAAAAATGGACCCCTAAGATTGGATTACAATTGTATCTAGTAAATTAACTGGAAAAGCTACAGAAACACACCAATCTGAAGCCATGGTAGACAAATTAAAAAATATAACGGATATAATCTTATGAGTTATTATATTTTTTTATTTGTCTACCATGGCTTCAGATTGTTTTAGGTAAATTTCTGAAAAATAAGTGAATCCACAATCCCATTTACATTGATCTCTCTATGTGCTATATTATCATTAATCATATCGTGTTTTTCCTCAATATATTTTATACGGATTTTAAGATGCTGTATAAATTTCTGAATCTTTATAATATACAAGTATATGGATATAGGTGTTCCTTATTTCACAAATGCACTGTCAAAATGAAAACAAGTGTTGGTTAAAAACATGAAAAGTCCTGCAACAAAAGGAGACATGTGTCTTTAAGAAATCCTGACACAGGAGAGATATAGATATATATATATATATATATATATATATATATATATATATATCATGACAGAAGGACTCCTCACTATCTTTAAAAACCTCGTCAAGCATGGGCAAAACGCGTTGATGCTGAGGACAAAGCTTACATTTATCTACCTTCTCAGTTTCCAGCACATATCCAGCGGTTTGAAGTAACGGCATCCCTCAGGTTTGGTTACAACTTTTGCGGCTGAAAGAAAGGACTTCACACAGTTCCAGCTGCTCTAACAGAAGGGCTTATCTACTCACTGCTCATACTGCATGTTCTGGACTTTATAGTGGTTACTCACATCCCTTATACCACTTCCGTTATTTTAATCTTTTCTATATAATTTTCTACAAGGAATTTTTGCTTTTATCTACTTGATGAATAAATGGTGTTTGAACTTTCATTTGTTTGAAATAATTTCCACAAAGACATTACTACAGTCTTGAACTGTGGATTTACTACATCATTTCACTTCTGACCACAATATATTTTTTGATTTGTATATTCACCACTGAGGAGGTGAATCAGGATTAGATTTACTATATCATATTGATTTTTTCTTTTTATTAAGGGGAGAACTACTTGAAGCGCTGACACTGACTTTGTAGAATATTTAACCAAAGATAACCTGTAGAACACATTGTAATCACAACGAATTTATAGCGCATCCACTTGATCCTGAAATTAGGCATAATACCTCAGGAACAAGATTTAAAAAAAAAAAAAAAAATTCCACGTGTTTCACCAAAGAGTCATTTGTTGAACATGGATGCTGTCCAGGAAGTAGGAGGGAGGGAGGGTCTGCCGGAGATTGGCAGGGATGTGTCAGCTGACCGGAGTTCGCCACGAACCGTTCGCGGCAAGTTCGTGAACGGTTCGCGACATCACTAGTGTGGACCCATTAGTAATTCCCCATATGGCATTGTAAATTATAAATAAAATAGATTAAAAGGGTTGGAGTAACTCTTAAAGAAGAAGCTATCCTTCAGAAGAACAGTGCTGTCCACAGACCAAATTTCTAATGCTCACATCTTTAATCATATTAAAAACTATGATGAAAACAAACAGTATGCTAAAGACTATAGGCACTGATTCACTCTTATTGAAAACTAACTAAATACAGCCAAATAAGGTACACTGAAAACAGGGGGGTAACCCCTAGTAGAAATGGACAAAAAGCTTGAGAAATAGTGTACCAAGAAAGTATTGGGAGAAAGCAACGTGTGCCTGTGCTACATAATAACCAAAAAATGTATGAAAGTCTGAAGCATGAGTTAAAAAGACCAAAGGTCAGAAAACAAAAAAGAATTTATTGAATACTAAATAGTATAAAAAAAATGGCAATAAACCCAAAAGTACAGAAAAACAAAAAGAGTAATAATAAATAATAATAATAAATAAATACAAAATGTTGTAGTGATACATGTATCAGTGAGACAAAACTGATTTACTAAAGATGCTTGCATCAGTTAAGTTTCAATATGATAAAATGATATAAGATACATGTATCAATGTGTCTCAGAGTAATTCGATAAATGTATCAATAGATGAATATATTAAAGCAGTATAGTAATCTGCAAAATTAACTCTAATGTCCTAAAGATATAAGGGTAATAAATAACAGCACACGTCTGTGCTGATGGGAAGACAAAGGCTAATGTGATGATAGGGGAGTAGATGGAGTGCAGGAAAATGTCAGGGTGGCAAATAATGCAAGCATATGATTGCTAGATACTTGTCAAAGATCGCAAATAATTTCACTGCTTGAAGCTAAAATAGCGATGTGGAGACTATAGGTCTAAGCATATATTTATAGTCAGTTAAGACAATCCTGCTTAATATGACCGTATAAGCTACAAGCAAATGAATACTTCTAGCTCAAGAAAACTGTCAGTAGCTATCGGTATAGAGACTGCGAGTCCTAACATATAGGTGGTTAGGTGTAGCAAAGGTGATACCGATCGGTGGTGATTCAATTCTGCATATATAGCAGTCAGAACTTACAAGCGTTGAATGCTAGATACTATTAGAGGCTGAAATAATTACGGCGTCTGATGGTTTGTGCCGTAATTATTGATAATGCTGATAATAGACAATCTAGTAGCATACTGAGATTCTAATGGAACTAGCTTGATTGTGAAATAGCAGGTGCAGGCTGTAGTGATAGGACCTGTAGCCAACACAAAAAAAATATAGCAGTAGAAGTAGTTGTAACAGGAAAGATAGAGATGATAGTATAATAGAAATACTATTATGGTGAACTCCACACTAACAGCTCACCCCGTGCCTTCAAGGGCACCTAAGTAATCCCACACCAATACAGTCTGATGAGTGGTGATATAAAAGGTACTAGAGAAGGCTAAATAAACTCCACACTACCTACTCTTCCCCGTGCCTTCAAAGGCACCTAAGTCTTTCCATGCCAAGATATAATCTAAATAACAAGAGGACAGATAAGAGTTGCTGTCATTCCCTGGTTAGAGACAGCATGTGAGAAGCCCCTGACGCGCGCGTTTCGCCCGACTTGGCTCATCACTTTCATATATATTTTGGTTATTATGTGGCACAGGCACAAGTTGCTTTCTCCCAATACTTTCTTGGTACACTATTTCTCAAGCTTTTTGCCTGATTCAATCTCAACTCCAAACAACATGACATAAAAAGGAAAGGATAATAAGGAACTTCAAGGGTATACCTCATCTTGGCATCCTCTGTTTTAACAGTTACACAACACCATTGCTTTCAAATAGACCTGGAAATTACGCTATTGAACAAAAACATTTAAAAATCACTCAGACATGATTGAAAAATGGACATCGTACTATTAGATCTATGGGCATGTTGGACACACCATTCCAGAACAGTATTATTATGGAGTTTGCACAACTTTTTGCAGCTATAACAGCTGCCACTCTGCTGGGAAGGTTTTTCCTCAAGATTTTGGATTGTGTCTATAGGAATATTGAAAATATATCGAATATATCTGCAAGAGTTCTTTTGTCTTTTAATTTATGACAATATACAGTGATCAAATATAAATCACTTTCACATTGCTGTTATGTTATATGTAACTCCCAAATTTGACAAATGGTCTGGCTAAATCAGCATTACAATTAATCCCAAAGATGGTCAATGTCTTTTACTTCTCCTTTCTTACTTTTGCCATGCCCCTTCCTCTCCTCATTCTTCCATTACACCTCTGTCTATGTCCCTTCCCTCTCCTTATCCATGTCACCTCTAATGCGATTCCGCTAAAGTCAACTTTCTGTATGCTCTCCCTCTTTTATCCATGTCACCTTCTGCTATATGTCCTTGTCTGTCCCTATCAAATCTTTCTCTACCCATCAGTACACGATGGTTCATTATCTATGTGGCGGAACCACTGCCGGTTCGTGTGGTTTCAGCTTGTAATATTTGTGTGTTTTCTCTCTATTTTGTTTTGTTGTGCCGGCTCCCCATTCGGGAGTGCTTCCACGAAGGGAATTCATTCACCACCCGAACGGGGACCAGCCCAATACCTCATTTAGAATGTTCTCACCACGCAACTTACGTGTCAAAACCGCAAAGTGCAAGGGAAACAATTAATGAGTGATTCCCTGGGTGGCCACCATTCGTACAGACGAACGCTACCAGGGGGAGCACTCGTGGATTGTTTCCAGATTCGTTCGTATCCCGAACAATGGCCTCCCCGGGGGCCCATTAAAACATTGACACCAATTAATCAGAATGCTCGCACCTGCAACATAAGTGTGAAACTGCAAGGGAAGTAATTAATGAGTGCTCCCCTGGGTGGCCGCCATTCGTACAGCCGAACGCCATCCAGGGGGAGCATTTATACCCCGAAAGGAGACGCTTCCCTTGTCTGTGTTTCACACCAGGACCTTGTGAACAAAGCCTAGTCGATCGAGGGACCAAGGCTAGGATCTCGGAGATTGATGTGGGCCCTTTTGGAGAGGGTGAGGAGTGTGTGGCCAATAAACTTGCGTTGTACCTCCAGAACTAGGTCTTGTCCAGTTACTGGGGTGGAAATGGGTCTCTTTACCATGTAAGTGGTACAAAACCACATGAAGGAAGGGAATTAGCGGAGGTAACCAGTTGGGTTACCCTGGGTCCGCTACAATCATCAATGCTACTTCACTTCCCAATTGCTTTGTAATGGTATCATAAGATAGAACTCAACAAATTTGTGGGCCTGTTCAGCCTCTGAGGTGACCGGCTGCCCGAGATTGGAGGCGGGCAGTCGGCTTACGGAGGGCTGAGGTGGTCAGGCATGCGGTTGGCTCATTGAGAGCTGAGGGAGGGATGCCAGCGGCTGTATGAGGGCCGCAGGTGGTTCAATGAGGGAGGCTGAATGAGGAGGGAGGCGGCGAGGGAGCTTTAATCTCCATGCTCTGCTCCCTCGTACGCCCTTCAGTGATGACGAGACCTGGAAAATTACATAATTCCAGCCCCCATCACTAAACAGCGCTCTAGAGAGCAGAGCAGAGATATGACAACCACCGAACAGGACCCCAGGGAAAGCTGATAGGCAGGCAAGGTTAAAATAAGAGTAATGATTTGTGAGTGTTGCAGTGGATGTGTGTCAGTCATTGAGTGAGTGTGCGCCAGCGAGAGTGTGTGCGCGCGGACCCATTAGTAATGCCCCATAGGGCACACGTACGTCAGCGGACACGAGGAGCGTCTATGTGCATGTCCGACAGCGAGAGTATGTTTAGGTGACATGCCCCCTCCAATCACATGGTAAAGGTGTTTTTACTCACCCTTTTTCCCACGCCGTGCTTCAATGGCGGAGATCAATCTTGATGATCTCAGGAAATCCAGTGCTTTCCCATAAAAAAAAAAAAATAAAAAAAAAACCACACACACACACATTGGGAGACTATTGCGCATGCGCGGCAAAACACCATGCTGCGCAATCAACTTCTCCTCATAGAGATGCCATGAATGAATGCATCCCTATGGGGAGCATTAATGAAGGTGCTGCACACTGCAGCACTGACGCAGGAAGCACTTCTAGATGCCATCTGAGTGACTGTCACTAGAGATGTTACCAGACAGCAATGTAAACCCTGCCTTTAGCCTGAAAACGCAGTGCTTACTTTGAAAAGCGTGCAGGGACAGTGTATAGACTTCAGAAGAACTACATTAAGCTGTAGTGGTTCTGGTGACTATAGTGTCCCTTAAAGAATTGTATTTTTGACGTTGAAAAAAATCTGGCTCCTAACTTTTCCTAGATTTCAAACAAATTCGTCAAGCCCTGTCATAAGACATTAGAGAACTCCCATTCGCTTATGGGAGCTGTGTTTTAGCAAATTCTACTCCCTTAAGACTATAGTAACATCATGCATAACCACAACATGAGCCACCATGTTCAGAGCTCACCCAAGAACAGCACTCTGAAGCTATGCTCTACTCAGTATAGTCAGCAATGGCTCTGGTCTTTGACTTCCAGAGCACCTGATCTACTCCTAGCAACTGGCAAGTTATAGATGGTTTAGCACTGAAAAAAGCTGACATGTGTTTAATTTCCAAACGTCCTTTCACAAAGTGGATTGAGCATTGTATACCTCCTTCTTGTCACTAGTCATAGTCTTCCATATCTCCCCAGCTTTTTTAGATAGGTCGGTTATGCTGATGCCTGGGTTTTCACTCTTAATTTTCTCCCGACTTGCATTTAACCACAACATGTAGGCCGACATTGGACGCTTGGGAGCAGCTGGGTCTTTCTGTTTTTTACCCTGGAAAAATGTCAGAAATAAAAGTAATTTAGGATGTTATTTCACGCCTCCCAAATGTCCTGATTGGACACATCATTATAAGCGCTTGTGCGATGTTCAGGGCACAGGTTGGCAGAGTTGGGAGGTATGTGTCTGATTTTCCTTAAAGCAATATACTGGATTGATGAGGAGCCATCTGAGGGTGACAGAATTATCTTATTTACCTCTGACTTCTTTCGTGGTTTTCTTTCTGCCGGCTTTGTTTTTACAGGCTTTTTCTTCTTCTTCTCTTTCTTTTCACCCTCCTCTTCATCACTGCCAGCACTGGATGAGCTAGCTGAGGGGTTACTGTCAAACCTGCAACATGTGAAAAGAATATATAACTAAAAAGTAAAACGGTTCCTTCAGAATAACATTTTATTTGTGAGATACTCATGGAGGTGAGCGTGGTTAGATAAGCTATCTCCTTTATAAATCAGACTACTTACTCTTCTGCAACCTCATCTTCTTCCTCACCAGGATTAAATGACTCATCTAAAAAAAAAAAAAAAAAAAAGGGAGGACAGTTATCAACCAACATAAGTTTTTCCAGTTCCTCATCTCATCCATATCTATCAACAATACACTTAAAAACGTCTGCAAACACTCACCAGTTTCATCTCCAGAGTCATCACTGTCTGCATTTTCCCTAATTTTCCCTTCTTCTTTCATTCTCTCCAGGTAAGCATCATGCTGATCATCATCAGAGTCTGCATAATCATCATAATTCTGCTTCATACCCTAAAGAGGAGTTTGTAACACATAATACCTCTGAGAATATATGTAAAACTGAGAAAGTACATCTTGGCTAGAGCTAGAACCAGTAAGAATAACACGATTTATATCATAAAACTTAATTAAATAACATTACATAAGTTATGAACAGGGACTGCAAGGTCTTTGAATCTGCAAGGCAACTATTAAAATCATGCAATAAAATAAACCTATTCCATGTTGCAAACTTTATCTCATCAAAATCACAAAACAACCAACATTTCAGACCGTTATTGAAGCAATACAGATGTTTTAGAACACAGAACACAACATTTCCAGATAGCTAAAGATTTAACATATGAAAATCCAATTTGACTATGAAGATTATTTTACTACACTTCCATTCGGGGGTGGAAAGGGGAGAGAGATGATCATGTAACAGGAAACCAGCAATCACACTTTTAAATCTGCTAAAGGAGTTAGCTAGTAACCCATGGCATTCATAGACTGATCTCTAACTTAGTCCCTTTTAGCTTCTGCAGTAAACAACCAACAAATGACAACAGTGGATAACACCTCATTTTGCCTACTTGTGCCTTAGGTCATATGTAAAACAGATAGAATGCCTTAATATCAACGCCAAACAAAATCCTTGGGGAAAAAAATATCCATTGGTCTAAAGCACAGAAAGCCCAATTACACATTTTGGAGCTTAACTGTTGGCTGCAATGCATTAATAATTTGAATCAATAGACTTTAGTGTCTAAAGAACATCAGTTACATGTGCGAGAAATTGGTAACTTGAGACACTAAGATGGTTTCAAAGGATGTTACATGAATGACTACTAAATTATCAATAACATATAAAGGAACTGTTTTATCAACTGCGGCAAGGAAAGTGAATAATGCTACACTGCAGAAGCAGCAGAAAAGGGATTATGGGACAATTTGTTCCCATAAACATACAAGAATATCTAACAGCATGATTAAGTGAAGCACATGGAGCATACCAAACACACATTATATGCCAGAGATTTAGGCAAGGACTAGGCTTAAGCTAAAAAAACATATCAGCATGGGATCAACAACATAGTAAACCTCCTAGTTATGTTTAAGTACAAGTTAAAGTCAAGGTTGTAGTAGGCAAAATAGTAAGACGCTGCATACAAAAAAATGCAGCATTCTGAAGGAAAAACAGTGTGAATACATTAAACACCTTGTTCTTTATTTGCAGTGTATTCCTAAAGTGAGAATGTGGATGTGAGGCATCACAAAAATAACATGTACATTTATGCACACAACACAACTTTTTCAATTTCACTTCATTTTTGCAGAACAACCAAGCCAACAGGAAAAACATTTTTTAAACATGATTTGTTTATCTTCATGCATACAAACAAAAACACACCAACACACTCTTTAATCCGATCTGCAGCACATCACATGCGTTGGAATGTTGTTAGCGTGTAAGAGATCAAAGCAAACATATAAACATGGATTCATGGAGACCTGACCTGTGACTTCTAACAATGGAATGATTTAAAAGTGGTATGGAAAGAGGAAAAAAAGAGAAGGAGAGATGAGTGAGGATTTATGCAACTAAGGAAAAAAATAAAGTGGGAGTTATGACAGAGTCTCACCTCTTTCAGGCCACGATTTTTGATAACTAATTTCTTGGCATTCACAAAGTCAAACAGCTTTCCGTATTCCTCCCTGAAAAGACCAAAGAAAAACTAAAAAAGAGCAACACAAACACTCCAAGCACCATAACCACTACAGAGTGCAAACAACTGCTTTTTAGCTTCTTCCCAAGAGTCATTCCCTGCATCTTTGCCACTGCACGCTCTCTTCACTGAGCTAAGGTTGGCAATGCAAGGCTTAACCAATTGGTTGAGAGTGATATAGCTGAGGAGAGCCATCAGAAGCACCTAGCAGGAGCTTCAAGCTCTCAATATAAGCTGCAGAGAAGCAATGACTGACGCTCAGCAGATCTTAGGTAAGACGTCAAACCGCAAATGATTTGACTACTTACACTGGATGTGCTCCTACCACCATAACTACTACATCACCTTGCAGTTGTAATGATGCTTGGAGTGTTCCTTGACTAATAAACTAATGACATTGTCCCATAATATTCCATCAACAAATTAGCCTTTTAGTTTGTTTGCAGAAGCCTCTAAAACATCTGACAACAACAAAGCTACAAAATGAAATAGATGACAGTCCCGAGGATAAAATTTTTTTTTTTTTTAAACCAGTTTTTTTCTGTTCATTACAGAAACCAATGATCTTGAGGTCCTCAAAAACCAATTGATCGGGCTCTCCAGTTACAATCAAGACTAGGTATCTCAGATTTGAAGCTCAATGTTCTAGAAGGCTTACGTTATCACTAACCTTTCAATGCTGCTGAATGTATACTGGGAGCCTTGTTTAGTCTCTATTTCGAAATCAAAAGAGCGCGTTGTTGTTGTGCCACGAGCAAAGTTAACACAGTTTACTTCATCAAATCTGATGTGGACTGGTGGTTTGTGGACGTAGATGAAGCCACGTTCCAAGGGATACAGCAGTCCTGAGCTGGCCTTGTAAGAACACGTGATGCACTGAGCTCCTGAGTGCCTGCAAACACAATCATTATAACATCTTGTTTGTAAACAGTCTTTTATACCATTTTTTTTTTTTTAATGTTTAAATAAATATTTCCACTGATTAACCACAAAATTTTCAAATTTAACAAAAATGTTGGAAAAACGTTCAGTCATTAAATTACCAGTAGGGTTACTCATAAAAGTGTGATTTGCAAGTGAAGTCACAGTTGCAGTAAATCTAAATAGCTCCTGCCACCATAACCACTACAGATATAGAGCTTCGAGTGTTCTTTTAAAAGGCGGTATTCTTGTTCTAGATATAGAGTGCCATTTAACATAAGAATAACTATTTAAGAACTACTTAACCTAAAGTAAAGGCTAAATGTCTGACAGAATTAGACAGTACAGTACATTTAACAAAAAATAAATAAAAAAATTCACAAAGTCACTTGAAGTGGAGACAAATATTCTGCTGTATGAATGATAAAGCTTAAGATAAGGGAAAAGGGATACAAATTATACAGTATAATTTTGATTTGTATGATGTAGGTATATTAAGTTATGTCTATGAGACTTGTAAATTAAAAAACAGAGAGAAAAAATAAAATAAAAATGTTGCTATAGTATAATTCAAAATGTTCTGTGCTCTGATAGGAAAAGTGTGCTTAGACAAAATCTTTAGCACACCAGACATCTCTCTACAGCACTCTTTGAAACAGAATTTTGCCATTTCTTACCCCTGAAAATTTCCTGGCACTGTGATCTTGCGGTTTACTAGAGCTTTCATAACACGACTAACCATTTCATACAAACAGCCTGACATGGTCTTCTTCAGCTTCCCTTCAAAGCGTTTTTCCACTTCTTCTCTAATAAGGATGAAAAAACATTGGAGAAAATTATGTGCAAAGACACACAAATAAGGGAAGCAAAATAATTTACTTTTTAAAATAAAATGAGTGTTCAAAATGACCACAAAAAAAAAAAAAAGTGGAAGTTCAAAAATGTAATTCTATATATTTTGCACGGTGCTTTTTATAGAGCAGCTGTGTCAAATGCAAAAGAAGAGAGAAAGTGCAGAGTAAATAGCCAATGATAAAGCTCTAAAAAGAACAATCCAGAATGAATAAAGTTGTTAAATTATCAGGAGGTCCCACGTGCCAGCATACCTATAGGGGTTAAATCATTTAAACAATTTAACTTCAAACTCTTCTGTCCGGCACCGGTCAGCTCTACCTCTCCCCCACTTCCATTTGAGTCCAAGGCTAAAAGCAGGAAGCATAGGACTGGGCACCACAGATAGGTTGAGAGTGTCAACAAACCCTGAGGTTTCAGGGTTCAAGCCTTGGACTCAAGTGGATATGGAGGGGCAGAGCTGACCGGCCCAGGTCTTCAGGATTAAACCCTGAAGGTAAACGTGTGCCAGGGACCTACCAGCACCATAACCTATTTCTAAGTGAAAGAGGAGTAAAAGTGAAATTAACAGGACAATTAAACAACAATGAAATTACTTACTCGCTCATGTTAAGTGTCAAGTTGATATCCTCATCTTTTGAGAAAAGCAGAATTAGAAAGTGGTACCGTGTCTGTCCCTGCTTAATAGGTGGATCCAGACTGATCTGTGGGAGACAAAACGCCAGTCGAAGTAAAATTTAAGAGTCAGACAGTTATATTTACAATCTTATATTTTGTTTCCATCAAATCCCAAAAAAATATGATTTACTGAATCATACTGGTTGACAAAAAATAAAATAAAAAAAAATTAAATATTATGGATGTTATAAAAACCTATTAAAATGTATTTCTAGAAGAGGAAATCGCGATTAACTGTCCCCTTTGACATAAAATTTTGATAGCTTTAGAAGGAATCCAGAGGATTGCAATTTCATGACAAATACATATATGTTTTCCATCACATTAAAGAAAATGTAGCTCTTTTTTATTTTTAAAAACACACACCTCCTGGCATAATACAGGTATCTCAATTAAGTTGTTTCAGTGCCTGGAGTACACCAGTGCAGTCTTTTAAGTGTTAAACTGTACTTGAATGGTTTAGTACTAAAGATGTGTCCCCGAGTGCCCATCCGTCCCTCTCCTCCTCCGTGGAAGCATTAGTGCAAGTTGTGAGAAGTTTCCCACGAACTTCCCCACGCTGTGTAAAATTATACAGAGCACTGTGATTGGTTAGATTCCAAGCCCACCAATCAGAGTGCTCTTTGTCATTTTACACAGCTTAAAACAACCAGAGTGTTCTAGGCATAATTGCAGGGCGGGGCAAGGCTTTATAAGCCTTCCCCGCCCTGCAGAGCCCTCCATGGGTGAAGATGGATTAATTTTTTTAGCGTGTTTTCTCTTTTTCGTCTGGATTTTTTTTTTTGCGCTAGGGTTTTCTATTTTATTTTAAGCTCGACGGGTATGATGGCTTTTTATTTGGCCTTTTTTGGGGCTGAAAAATGAAGATTTTAGAAAAAAGAAGACGTCAAATGGTTAAATAAAGTTTAATTTTTGTTTACAGGTTAGTTATTTTATTCCCCCCTCCCTATTTTTAGAGTGAGGGGGTAGGGGATATTTTTATTTGGGTGGGGGGTGACTAGGGGCTTGGAACCCCTAGTCACCTTGATTTGGGGGGGGTGGTGAATTTTTATTTAGGGCCCCACCCGCCGCTCAGGGGTGGGGGGGAAGGACAGTAGTTCAAGCCGTGATTTGTCATAAGTGCAATGATTATGGCTTACAGCTCATGAAAACCCCAAATCCACAATTTCAGTAAATTAGAATATTGTGAAAAGGTGCAATATTCTAGACTCACAGTGTCCCAATCTAATCAGCTAAGTAAGCCATAACAAGGTAGTGGGTTCAGCGCTTAGTGATCAATAGAAAATAGACTGAATGTAAAAAGGCTGCAACCTAAAATAATGACGTTCCCTCACAAATCGTCAAAAGAAAAGGCCTGACGGACAATAAAAATGATCTAATAACCTAACATATTGTCCCTATTGTCCCTCAGCGTGGGTTGCGCTCAAAACACAACATCTTTTCAAGCTGGGATGTCCTAGAACATCCCCCATTCGGGAAGTCCCCGCCCAGCTGCAGTTTGCCGCCCGTTTAGCCGTATCACGCACACGGGGGCTCCCTGCAGCCTACATCTCCCAAGCTTAATTGCGGTGAAGCACGTGACGCAAACGAGTCATCGATTGCCTTGCCTCACGTGATCGCCCGAAACCGGAAGTAAGAACTTTCCGTTTAATTATTATGTTTTATTGTACAAATAAGTTAATTTTAACAAATTTAAAAGACTTTTTATATTTTATAAAAGATATGTATTATTGTAATACCTTTATTCTGTTTCACACTGTGTTCATATAATTCATTTTGGCGACAAATTTGAAATTGTTAACTGATTTACAGCCTATATATACCAGGTCTGTGTTTTTAAATTGCCAGTTGATAAAGCCCTGTGTGGCGAAACGCGTTTTGGCTATTTTTTAAAAAACTTTTTTAATGTACTAATAAAGGAATATTGGCTATTATTCTGCAGTTGCCATATACCTTTGTTTTTATCCCTACTTTTAAAGTTTTATTTTATAATTTTTAATTTATTTGTACCTGTTCATTCATTACATCGAATCACTCACCCGCTCAAGAATTCCAGGTGGGGATTATACCACCTACGCTATAAAAGTGAGCAGCACATTCTGCTCACTTAAATGTGAGTATTCCATGTTCTTCTTTCTATCTGCTGTAATATACAGTGAGCACTATATTTGTTTTATCTTCCTTTCCACACTGAGGACCTCTTCTGTTCATCAACACCAATATTCTACCAGTGGGGGATCGACGCCACTGAATGCGAGTTATACTTGAGCTAGTTCCAGCTCTCCAATAGGGGAGTCCAATACCTCCCTGCTGTGAAGTTTGTATTTCTACGTATTTTAAGTCGCAGTCTGCACTATTGGAATTTTCCCCTTTTTATCTCCATCCGGGTCAAGAGAACCAGATCACTTTTCAGCTCTACAATCTGCATAGACCGCCACTACAATCAAGTCCCTACAAGTGGACCTGGCCTTCCACATGCTCATTTGTTATCAGGACTTATTTCTATTTTATCTTTATTGATATATGTAAGTACATACCGTGTCTTTACTAGTCTATAGCATATCGCTGTGTTATTTTCACAATTATTCTATTTATTTTGATTATATATTTTTCAGTGTTTTTTGGCGCAACCTATAATCTTTATTCTCTAGAAGTAAGCCATAACACCTGCAAAGGGTTTCTGGGCCTTGACAGTTGTGCAGAAAACCATCACTGACACCATCCATAAGGAGGGAAAACCTCAAAAGGCAATTGTGAAGGAAGCTGGATGTTCCCAAAGTGCTGTATCAAAACACATTAATAGAAAGTTATGTGGAAGGGAAAGTGTGGAAGAAAAAGGTGCACAAGCCATTCAAAAATGTTGGGGACTTTCACAAGGAGTGGACTGAGGCTTGAGTCAGTGCATCAAGAGGCACCACACACAGACGGATCCTGGACATGGGCTTCAGATGTCTTATTCCTCTTGTCAAGCCGCTCCTGATCAACAAACAACGTCAGAAGCGTCTTACTTGGGCTAAAGAAAACCAGACCTGGTCTGTTGCTCAGTCGTCCAAAGTACTCTTTTCTGATGAAAGCAACTTTTGCATCTCATTTGGAAACCAAGGACCCAGATTCTGGAGGAAGAATGGAGAGGCACACACTGCAAGATGCATGAAGTCCAGTGTGATGTTTCCACAATCTGTGTTGATTTGGGGAGCCATGTCATCTGCTGGTGTTGGTCCATTGTGCTTCACTAAGCCCAGGGTCAACGCAGCCGTCTACCAGGAGATTTTGGAGCACTTCAAGCTTCCTTCCGCAGACGAGCTTTATGGGGATGCGGACTTCATTTTCCAGCAGTACTTGGCACCTGCCCACAATGACAAAAGCACCAAAGCCTGGTTCAATTAACGTGGGATTACTGTGCTTGATTGGCCAGCATTGCTAAGAGAAAGATGAGAGACATGAGACTGGACAATGCAGAAGAGCTGAAGGCTGCTATTGAAGCATCCTGGTCTTCCATAACACCTCAGCAGTGCCACAGGCTGATGGCTTACATTCCATGCTGCATTGAGGCAGTAATTGCTGCAAAAGGAGCCCAAACCAAGTACTGAGTCCATATGCATACTTATACTTTTCAGAGGTTCGATATTGTTCTATGTAGACTCCTTGTTTTATTGATTACATGTAATATTCTAATTTACTAAGATTGTGGATTTGGGGTTTTCATGAGCTGTAAGCCATAATTACGCACTTATGACAAATCATGGCTTGAACTATCTTGCTTTGCATGTAATGCGTCTATCTCATATTAGTTTCCCCTTTTACGTTGCATTACTGAAAATACTGAAATAAATGAACTTTTGCACGATATTCAAATTTTTAGAGTATCACCTGTATATGCACCGCAGTATTCTAGAAAGGCTTAACTCATATTTGGGTCACCCCAGGCATCTCCAGCCTGGCATCCAAATTTCGGTACAACCCTATCCACAACCATTTATCCTGCAACAGAACCCTTCCATCTTAGCTGCCTGTCCATCATTTTTATACATTCCGCCCTAGAAACCTTGCCGTAGGTACAATAAAAAAAATTAAAAATCCTATTTCTTCATCAGCAATTGCTTTGTCAGCCTTTTGTTAGCCTTACGATCTAATTATTTTATCTCATCTTAACAGTAAGAATTCTACCTTTATCAGTGTAGGACACTAGCCTATATTTAGCAGAAGATCCAACTAACCCCAGCGCACTGAGCTCAGGTGAGATGGGGCATAGATCCCAAAAACCACCCCAAGGCACGCCGAATCTGCAGCACGATGTAGGTCAAATGCTACACGCCCCAAGTGCAGTGAAGACCCAGCCCCCTGTAAAGAATCCCCGCTGCCCTCAGAGGAGGGGGAACCGCAGGACAGCCCACACCACAGTCCCCAACTCCCCACACAAGCAGGGAGGTCAGAAGCCATTACACCGGCCTCAAAACAAGACATACAGGAAATGCTGGCAGGCATGCAACAGAACTTGTGACAAATGTGGGAAGCAGATCTGGCTGTATTAAAGCTAGATGTACACACAGTGTCCTCACGCAACCAGGCGATAAAAGAGGAGGTTAAGGGATTGAGGGAGTACTACCAAATAATGGGGGAGAAGTTGCACCATCTACAATCCACACAAGCGACAATGTCCAGACAAGTTAACTTACTAGACGACAGAAGGCAACGCAAAAACATCAAGATCAGATGGGTACATGAGACAGTGCCGCTGGAGGAACTACCACACTTCACCAGGCGCCTCGTGGCCGCACTCCTACCGACCAGACAAGCTAATCCTTTTCAATTCGACGGGGTCTACAGGATAACCAAATCCTTACAGGCACCCACCTCAGCTCCACGAGACATAATACTAAGATGCCAATCAATGTCTGACAAACTGGGGCTAATGGCAGCTATACAAAGAAAAACCCTGCACCGGCCCCAACGACACAGCTAGATCACCGGCCGGGAACAACAGGCACAGACCTAACCGCGACACCTGGACCAAGTAGAGGCACCGAAACCTGAACGAACACTCTCTGCATATAGCCTCTTAGGCTTTAGTTTAAATATTTTATGTTAATATTGTTCCTAACTTTACATAGTTTGTCTTACCCCAATGGTCATTACAATAGGAAAAAAGGCCCAATGGAGCTGACTATTACTGCTCAGGTGACACCCCCTTCCCTGGGTTTAAAAGGAAATGACAGCAGCACCGACCTAGTAATCCTGTAACCCTGACCGGTACCACGCCTACCGACATGCCTCACACTTCTAGCCTGACGCCCCACAGGCACGGCCGGACCCAGGCGCAACACAGCGACTCCCATACACCTAGACCCAAACCTTTCAGAGTTGCAAAATTGACCAGCACACAAACACAGCCACTCCTATGACCAAACGACACCCTATGACTCCCAGAATACAACACACACACACTGGTGTACACCAGTAAATATAACCTCAAGCGACAGGGGACCGGATCTAGCCACGATAGGGTGACACACAGAGTAACCCTGTAACCATCACAACCCACTCCCCGTCCATACGCATCGAGTCCATGAGACATCACACACTTATATCCTAAAGAGACATGACTGGGGTACAAAAACAGTTATCAGACTTGGCCGAAACCCGCCCATTCCCCTCAACCTACAGCCTCACAATAGTCGTGGTGATCTAATTAGACGGGTGTCTTTTACCCAAACAGTTTTACATTTCAATTCACTCATTATAACATTGAGACCTATTATAACCATAAAAAGTGTGTGACTAGAATCTTGCAATACTTCGTGCATAATGTATATGTTATTGTTTGACGTATGGAGGCTATTGTGGCCTTGCACATGTACTTCACATTCCACACAAAAAATAAAGAATTTAAAAAATAAATAAAATAAAGGCAAAAATTAAATAAAAAATTAATAAGGCTAATAAAAATATTCTTGAAACAAAATGGCAGATTTCTTTTGAATAAAAAATAAAAATTTAGTCCAGTCAAATTCTTTAATTTTTATCACAGCCTTTTTCAAAAAAAATTTATATATTGTGCCTCTAAAAAATTATTAAAGCTGTTAAAGTCATTGTAGAGGGTTTTTTGTACATTTCTAATAAAGCATAAAGCAGCTCCGTCATCTGTGGCTTTGCCGGTGAGGGGCCGTTTGAAATGATGGGAGGGGAATGGTGAAGTTTTCCATCCTTTTGATTCTGTTATTCAACTCTTGGAGTTTCAGACTACAACACTGAGGTCTAAAGAGGACCCTCAATAAAAAGAGCTTAATTTTCCTTCCGCCGTCAATGGTCATTGCTCCACCTTTTGTCAAGCGTAAGAAAAATACTGAGACTATTAATTGGAGCTGCTTGTTATGTCATGATATAGCCGCAGACACTGACCTCTTCCGAGAGGAAAAACTAAATCTCCGCCACGAGAACGAGACGCAATCACTCCAATACCTGACTGCCATGGAGGACGGGCAGAGATTTAAACAAAAAAAAAATAATTAAGGTCCAGGGCATATTTAGTTATTTTAAGCTAAGTAAAAAAAAAAAACACCACGCTTCTAGATGGTTGCTACCCCAAAAAAATTATTTACTAGCGTTATAAGTCATTCTGTTTAACTTTAGCGGTCGACTATTTGGGAGGTGTTGATTCCAGGAGTTTAGGAATATAGTTATGGGTATACCTATCTGTTTAATCTGGCACTTTTACCAAATTAGATCATAATAAAGGAACACTATAGTGTTAGGGATATAAACAAGTACTTCTAACACTATAGTGTTGGACTACCTATATGGGTGTCGGGCCCCCACAGTAAGTAGTTAAAAGGAGTTACTTACCTTTTCTCCATCACTGCACTGGTCTCACCTCCATGCCTGAGATGATCAATTTTGATGATCTCAGCCAACTGAATACTTTCTAATAGGAGAGAATTGGGAGGCTATTGCGTATACGCGGCAAGCCTTTGGCCCGCGCCACTCAGCATCTCCTTTTAGAGGTGCACTGAATCAATGCTAAGCTGTATGGAGCTTTCAGTGTCTCTATGCAGAACGCAAGTGCGGCAAACAAAGCAGCACTGAAATAGGAAGCACCTTTAGTGACCGTCGAAGTGATTGCACCTAGAGGTATTTTCTGGAAAGGCAGCGTTTACTGTGCTAAGACTGCAGTGACATGCTATAGACACCAGAACCACTACATTAAGCTGAAGCTCTATAGTGATTCTGGTGACTATAGTGTCCCTTTAAAAACACTGGTATTACTTTAGCATATAGTTTGCTTGCTGCATTCTTGCAATGTTTTAATGAATTTTATGTGGAGGAAATAAAAAATAAATACATTTCAACAAAAAAAACTACACCACAAACTTACCACAAAAAACATCTGTCTCTGGTCTTTGTGTGGAAGCAGGAAAAGTCTAAGCACAGTTGTATATGGTATTTTGTAGTCAAAAGTTTTTCCATGCAAGTGAAGAAAACTGGGGTATATTCGAATATCGTAACGACCACGTGGGGTAAGACACTGCAATTCACGAAATATACACACTGCATCTCCAGTTGCTTGAATTACATCAGCCTTAGACAGAACATTCTGAACAAAAGCCTGAAGATTAAAAAACAAACATAAAACATTTAAATTCATATTTAAAGTAAACAAAACGGCAATTACCCTAGTCTAGCATTGCCTCTTTAAAATGCATGGAAAATTATACAGAATGTAATCTTGGGTGCTAACTTCTTGCCTACAGACGTATGGCCCGCTGTGACTGGAAGACTAAAATACCCACTCATGGGTTATAGTCTCTAATGCAGAAAATCTTGTACATCATCTACAGGCATCGGCAGTTGTGTACCAACCTGTAGAGCCGGTGATATCATTAGGCAAAGCAGGCACCCATCTATTGCCAATATTGACAGTGTGGCAGGTGCGTACTCTGCTTAAAGCAATTGTGCAGGCTGAGGTCTTGCGGCTCCATGTAGTGGAGGCAGGTGACATTACTCCAGCCCAAGGGCTGTACAGTAAAGGACAGATAAATTAGTGTGTTTATGTATATGCACGTGAGTGCATGTGTGTGTATAAAATATGAATGTGTGCAACTACACAAAAATTTGTGTTTGTAAATTAATGTGAATATATTAAACATGTGATGTGAGTGTATGAACGATCTATTGTGTCTTACACCCAAAATGGAGTAGTGGTGCATAACACATGGGCACACAATAACATTTACATACCTGGGGTAGGAGATTTGCCAGCATATATTCCCACCAGATTGCCAAATAACCTAGGTACACCTGTGTGTATAGGTCCAACATTTTGTGAACCCCTGCCAGGACGGATTTAAAGTTGCGAGAAGATTTCACAGAGAATGACTGAACTGTAGTTGAAATGTATTCCTATTCAATGTATGACATCTTCAGTACAATGTACTTTTATTGGTCTAGGAGACTGGGTTTAGGCCAGTGGAAACAGGCTTCCTACCACTCCATTTATTTCAGCATCAAGTCCACACTCCCATGCTTTTTGCCTTCCCGCTCTCTCATTGTGAAAATTAACACTTAAGCCAGTATTTAGAGTACTGTCTAAGGTTTATGGGGAAATTAACTTACTACTTGCCCAGAGTGACCCTGCAAAAAGTCTGCCTAACCTATGAAAATAAATTATGATTCCTGGTGCCAAGAAGGTATGAACAGGGCAATGGAAAATCTCTTTTCGAAAGATTGGACCTTAAGCTGGTTATACTCACCCAAGCAATATATCTCTACACAGATATAGCAAAAGTGGAAGTTCCCTTCCTGCTTTAAGAATATCAGATTTGTCCAACATTGGAAGTAGGAAATTCCACTTTAGCGATATTTATGAAGAGGAGCCAGACCATATGCATCCAGCAGACCTAAGTAGGTCGTAACATTCAAAAATTTGTGTTTCTTAACAACTGGAACTCTTGGTACATTACCACCAATACTGCCCCTTTAAAAATGCATTACAAAAAGAACTGCGTGCATATGGTTATGGTCTTCTTTATGTTGAACATAACATCAGGAAAAAAACACTACAAATAAATAAATGTAGATGGACTTATGAAATAACTTTGAAGAAATTGAGAGCTAAAACACTGACTTCTACAGGGTCTCCTCCATCATCCTGATTAGGAGGAACATAGAAACGAATCTCCATTAGTGAAACGTCAGAGTCATCATTTTGATGAAATTCAAGTGTAACTTCATTTTTGCCCGGGGTACACTGAGACACATTACTGAGAGGAAGTTCAAAAGCTGGCTGGTCACCCACATCAAAGGAAAGCAGCTGTCCTGTTTTAACAAATAAAAACAAAAAAAGTCCCATTTTGAACACAGATAAAATGAGCCCAGTGAACAAAAATGAAATCCAAAAATGATGAAACAGTAAAGACTACTATTATTGGCATTTATATTGCGACACCCTGCCAAGGTAAGTAGTCATACCATTTTAAAAATGGACTGACAACTTACTTGAGGTTCAGTCAGCTCATTGGCGGAGAGTGGTCAGCTGAGAGCCAATGTGATGGCTCTGCATATTAGGGCTTAGCAGAGTGAAGCTAACTTAAGCTTTTTGAATGAGTTTCCGGTTCCAAAGGAATAGATGACTGGTGGACCCTAATTCCTATTATATTACACAGAACCCCCACATTTAACCTATCTCCAGATAGCTCGCATCTGAGCACCCAATATAGGTGAACAGCGCTCAGATCCCACGAACATAGTAAATTTGCCATGGGGTTAAAGTTTAGCAAGGGCTGATGAGAGATTGAGGAGGGACAAAGCAGCCAACTTCAACTGGTCTGGCAGTGTCCCTGGGACAACGCCCTGCTGGAGAACAATGGATAGAAAAAGGGGGAGCGGAAGAGGCAAACTGTTCTCAAACAGTTGACTACTTACCCAAGGAGGGCAACAAGGTATTTCTAGCAGCATAACCACTACAACGGGCTGTAGAGATTTTTGGTGCATGGAGTTTACTTTTAATAGAAGTAAAAATGTGTGCGCACACTATTCGACATACAAAAAACATACAGTAAGATATCAAAACATATGGAAAATATGGAAGATTTGGAAATGAGACAAGCAACAAATGCAATGGAGATAATGAAATGCACTCACCTCCAAACTTAACACTACCCCAATTCCAACCTTTCACACACAAATCCTTCTCTGCTAGTTCAACGTTAAAGTTGGTCTTGAAGTAATCAGACAGCTTCTCAAATTCCTGAAACAGTTAAATAAAAGTTTAAATAGAACTTTCACCTGCAAATTTCATTACTTTTATCTCTTTTCAGGATACTTGTTAGTCTACTTAAAAAGCCCTATAACAATTAATGGGGTAGTTTAGGTGTATAGATCATGCCCTGCAGTCTCACTGCTCATTTCTCCACCACTGTGAATTAGGTGTTAGCAAGCCATGTCCATTCAGAGCATTGCCGCAGATTACCATGTCAACGCTCTTGCACAATGCTGGAGCTCGCATTACAACTACATGGACTGCAACTCTGCACTCTGTAAAATAACAATTCAAAGTGAATTTCAAATTCAAGGTCAAAATAGCAGAACTGGAACAATTCTTGTTAGTCAAACTATGCTTCCAGTTTGGCTATTCTGGTCTTAAAGGACCACTATAGGCACACAGACCAATACAGCTCAATGAAGTGGTCTGGGTGCCAGGTCCATCTAGGTATAACCCTTTTTGCTGTAAACATAGTTTCAGAGAAACTGCTATGTTTACCTATGGGTTAATCCAGCCTCTAGTGGCTGTCTCATTGACAGCCGCTAGAGGCGCTTCTCACTGTGATTTTCACAGTGAGAAGACGCCAGCGTCCATAGGAAAGCATTGAGAATGCTTTCCTATGAGACTGGCTGAATGCGCGCACGCGCATTCAGCCAATGACGGAAGAAGAGGGAGGAGAGTCCCAGCGCTGGAAAAGAGGTAAGGGATTAACCCCTTCCTCCACCTTCAGCGCCACGGGAGTAGGACCCTGAGGGTGGGGGCACCCTCAGGGCACTATAGTGCCAGGAAAACGAGTTTGTTTTCCTGGCACTATAGTGGTCCTTTAAGTTTGAAATTCACACAACTCTACCCATATGAAGAAAAGACGAGATACATCAGATACGACTATATGTTTGGGCTTTACATGTAGTTTTATGACTAACGGATTCACCTGTACTCCGACCGAGTACCTTCCGTTGATGGACGCTTCCTAGCTTTCGCCAAGGACCGGACACCACAACCACTGCAGACTCCACAACCGCCGTAGCTTAACTGGTAGTCTCGCCATCTTACTTCCACAATGGATCAGCTTCTGTCTTCCAGGACCGTGTGGGAAAGACCTCTTCCTTCCACACTGTATGAACCTCCGACATCCAGGACTGTGTGGGGAAGACCTCTCCTCCAGGAGAGCGTATCAGGAACAGCTCTTAGAAGAGCTAAGTGATTAAAGCTCAAGGGAGTATGCAGAGCATAGCAATCCCCAGTGTGATTATAGCAGTTCCCTCCAATCACGAGACAAGACTACGTGTTGAGGGTCAAGATCATCAATTTAATGCACAGAAAAGGACTCTCTTTTATACAGGTTTTCAGGCCAGAGGCACACCCCCTAGACCTGGTGGTAAACTGTGACAAAAGGGACACAAACCAAATGGTAACATTATTTAATAAAATAACACTCCCACATACACAGTAAAATCCCTCCCCTCTATCCTGGAGATAATTGGCTTAAGGAACGGCAGTAAACTCAATTATCTTCAGGTACAGAAAATATCTCCATTTTACACTAACAGTAAAATACCTAATTCCTATTATATTACACAGAACCCCCACATTTAACCTATCTCCAGATAGCTCGCATCTGAGCACCCAATATAGGTGAACAGCGCTCAGATCCCACGAACATAGTAAATTTGCCATGGGGTTAAAGTTTAGCAAGGGCTGATGAGAGATTGAGGAGGGACAAAGCAGCCAACTTCAACTGGTCTGGCAGTGTCCCTGGGACAACGCCCTGCTGGAGAACAATGGATAGAAAAAGGGGGAGCGGAAGAGGCACATTCTGCCATGGAATCAAAAGTGGCAGAAACAGTGCAATAAAATCCAATACGCCCAATATTGAGCGGTGAGGCTGCAGGGGCATGTTCTATACACAAAAACTGCTTCATTAAGCTAAAGTTAAGGGGTTAATGGGACACTGTATGCACCATGAAGTTTAGTGTTGTATTATATGGAGAAAGGAGTTTTTGGTTGCCTCCCCCTGTTGTGTGTGTTTTTTTTTTGTCCTTTGGATGGTAGTGATATGCTTTGGTTGTGGGAGGCATGTTATTCCAGTACATTCAACTTATTGTCATCCAAGGTTGAATGGATTTGAAAAGATCATGCAAAAGTAAATCTTGTAGCTGAGCAAGCTAACGTTTGACAGGGGGAATGTGAACAGGAAATGGTCCTCAGATCTCACTACCATAAGTTGTATTGATTATAGTGGTTAGAGTGCTTCTTTTGGGGTTGCAGTTGCAAAATTTCCTCTGCCTCTATGGAATGGCTGAATGTGTATTATTAGCCCTAGGCTGGTTCTCACATTGTTTTTATTTACTTTTTTTTAACTGTAAAATTGTCAATGGTTTAAACTCAATATAAATAATAAAGTGCATACGCCACACCGTTTCCAATTAAAAATTTGTACATAGTCAAGTCATGTCTGTGTAAATAAAACCATTCTTAAAACAACACTCTCAAACATATATATCTGCAGTCTAACATAAAAATGAGTAGAAAGCAATAATAGACAGTTTAGACCATGGGTCCTCAAACTCCGGCCCCCCAGATGTTACTGAACTACAACTTCCATGAATTACATAGATAGCCAGAGAATCACAGGAGTTGTAGTACAGCAGCATCTGGGGGGCCGGAGTTTGAGGACACATGGTTTAGACAGTATAGAATGTTTTAGTAGACTTTACATAACCATATTCACATTGACTGAAATGGTCCTCAGATCTCTGGTAAAGTGTCTGTTCACATTCCCCCTGTCAAACGTTAGCTTGCTCAGCTACAAGATTTACTTTTGCATGATCTTTTCAAATCCATTCAACCTTGGATGACAATAAGTTGAATGTACTGGAATAACATGCCTCCCACAACCAAAGCATATCACTACCATCCAAAGGACAAAAAAAAAATAAAAAAATAAAAAAAACACACAACAGGAGGAGGCAACCAAAAACTCCTTTCTCCATATAATACAACACTAAACTTCATGTTGCATACAGTGTCCCATTAACCCCTTAACTTTAGCTTAATTAAGCAGTTTTTGTACATAGAACATGCCCCTGCAGCCTCACTGCTCAATCCTCTGCCATTTAGGAGTTAAATCCCTTTGTTTATGAACCCTAGTCACGCCTCCCTGCATGTGACTTGCACAGCCTTCCATAAACACTTCCTGTAAAGAGAGCCCTATTTAGGCTTTCTTTATTGAAAGTTCTGTTTAATTGAGATTTTCTTAACCCCTGCTATGTTAATAGCTTGCTAGGCCCTGCAAGAGCCTCTTTTATGTGATTAAAGTTCAATTTAGAGATTGAGATGTAATTTACCTTAAATAATTGTATCTGTTTGAAAGTGAAACCAGTTTTTTTTTTTCCATGCAGGCTCTGTCAATCATAGCCAGGGGAGGTGTGGCTAGGGCTGCATAAACAGAAACAAAGTGATTTAACTCCTAAATGAATTGAGCAGTGAAATGGCAGGGGAATGATCTATACACTAAAACGGCTTTATTTAGCTAAAGTAATTTAGGTGACTATATAGCGTTCCTTTAAGCAGCTTCAGAAGCTTTTCTTACGCTTAATGACAAGCAATTTTTGCATTTTCTTGCTGTTTGCGTTCAACTGCAATTTGCATCTCTCATTTATTGCACCAACACATATTATATACTGTTTTTTTTAAAGGACAGAAAGGGCTTTAATTTGATGTAACATATATATATATAAATGCTTATTATAAAAAAAAATTAAAAAAAAAATACGAAAAATTTGTTTTTTTACAGTTTTTGCTATAATGTGTGCATAATTCGTGCAGGTTAAGGAAAGTAATTAAAAATAAATTTATTTAGTTCTAATTTACAGAATACATATGTGTCTGGGATTTTAAGTTTTTTTTTGGTAGTTACAAGTCACAAAGCACATGGAGTAAAATAAACTTAATGTGGAGCGATTTTAGAAAGTTTGTCTTGTAAGCTTAAAGGACCACTCTAGGCACCCATACCACTTCAGCTTAATGAAGTTGTCTGGGTGCCAGGTCCTTCTAGGGTTAACCCATTTTTTCATAATTATAGCAGTTTCAGAGAAACTGCTATAATTATGAATGGGTTAAGCCTTCCCCTAATCCTCTAGTGGCTGTCTCATTGACAGCCACTAGAGGCGCTATGTCTTCTCACCTTGAAAATGAGAGCATGAGAGCATAGCGTCCATAGGAAAACTGTAAATGCTTTTCTGAAGAATGGCTAACGAGCCATGCACTGCCGCGTGCGCGCGTGGGCGGCGAGCGAGGCCAGGGGGGGAAGGAGAGCTCTCCGCTGGCGCTGGAAAAAGATAAGTTTAAACCCCTTTCCCCCTTCCAGAGCCGGGCGGGAGGGGGACCCTGAGGGTGGGGGCACCCTCAGGGCACTATAGTGCCAGGAAAACGAGTATGTTTTCCTGGCACTATAGTGGTCCTTTAAAGGGACGTTATAGTCACCAGAACAACTACAGCTTATTGGATTTGTTCTGGTGAGAAGAATCATTACCTTCAGGCCTTTTGCTGTAAACACTGTCTTTTCAGAGAAAATGCAGTGTTTACATTACAGCCTAGTGATAACTTCACTGGCCACTCCTCAGATGGCTGTTAGAGATCCTTCCTGGGTCATGGCTGCCTAAAATGCATGCAAGCATTCAGTGTCTCCACCCTCTGCATGCAGACACTGAACTTTCCTCAGAGATTTATTGATTCAAGTCATCGCTATGAGGAGATGCTGATTGGCCAGGGCTGTGTTTGAATCATGCTGGCTCTACCTCTGATCTGCCTCCTTGTCAGTCTCAGCCAATCCTAGGGGGAAGCATTGTGATTGGATCAGGCTACCACTTCTGATGATGTCAGCAGACTGCTTTTTTTTTTTTTTTAAGGCAAACAGCATGCAGATCTACAGCTTCTGGCTTGAATACAGTAAGATGTTGCTATATTTATGGAGGCATGAGTGGCTAGATGGTGGTTTTAACACAATAAGGCCGGAATACATGTTTGTGTTCCTGACCCTATAGTGATTGTCACGAACGCACCCTACTCCAAAAGTGTGCACGAGGTAGTTGTGGTGGTGAAAGGGTTAAAGTTCACTATTTGTCTGCACTAGACCGGAAATAATGACAAAATCCCCCTTTTAACACCACCCACACTTAAACATAATATAACTATTACTATTTTAACGCTGCCACCAGCAAGACAATTTATAAATGGGGTGCCTTGGTCCCCCAGGTAAATCAATAATAAGACCCACCAAATATTACTTAGCACAATATTTAAAGAATTGCAAAAATACTAACTAGTCTCTTCAGGTAACGAGATTCTTAACCAGACAATAAAATACATAAAAATATATAACTGTGCAGCTATTGCATAAAACAGGTACATATCCCCAGATAGCTTAGACCTGAGCGCACATTATTACTGAATGGCGCTCAGATCACATACATACAGTTCAACTGCCATGGGCTCCATGGCATAACTATCTGGGGTATCACTGTTCAAATATGGTAAGTACCGAATGACCCGGTGTCACGAGCGTGGACTATAGGCCCAGCTGAGACAGTGGGGAGTGTGTGGAAGTGACAGGGTTAATGACACCAGACCCCTGGTTACCTGTTGCAAGTCCCAGCAACCACTCAGTTAACCCCTGCAATCCCTTCTACACTAACCCCCTAGTACACACTTTACTGCCACCACCAAGACTTTAAACCCGGGCATCTTAGGTTACCCCACACACAGGAGAATTATAGTACATAGTCTTTTGTTATCAGAATGGGCTCCATGGCATAGCCATCTGGGGTATCACTGTTCCAATAAGGCAAGTACCGAATGACCTGGCTTTCGTGTCTTTGCAGGGGAAAAATCAAGCATTTCAACATGGGGCCATAGTCTAAAGGTAGCAGGCGGGCAACCAGGCTCCTCCAATGCCCAGTGGTGAGATTGGTCTCGTCACAGTGAACTTTAATAGCCATAAAATTAAACAAAATTGCCACACAAAAGTATATATTTATATAAAGTAGACATCCAGGCTATTTACCTAAGGTTGTTTTGACATTTTCTACGTAGCCATTTCACCGCCAATCTCTGCTAAATATTGGAGTAAAATTGTGGGGGGGTTTTGACACACAAACTTATAACAAAGAACATCTCATGTGTATTTTGTAAAGTTGGTGTGTGTTATTCCTGCAGAAAACTTTATTTTGTGTTCAGCTACATCTACAGAGTACAACGATAAGCCCATTGTATGTCTTTGGCACTATTTCGTGGAGCTACCGTGCCATATAGGAGACCTGTCCTTTTCAGTATTTACAGTCGAATTTTGAGAGATGGATTTAATTGGCCTATGCTTCAATTTGGGGTATTATAACCCCCACAAAGGCCTACCATTTGTAAAAGTAGACACTCCAGGGTATCTCATATGGTGCATATTGTGCCTTAACATGCCCCCATTTTTTCACCAATATATGCCAAAGTATGTGGTAAAAAAAATAATTTTGGGCATTTTTTTTACATTTGGATTACATTTTTGCTGGGCATTTTGTATATTTCATGTTTGCCACTAAGTTCAAAACCCCAAAATTATGCTCAGCTAAGTCTTCTGAGTAAAACAATATGCCCAATATATGACCTAGACACTATTTTGTGAAGTTACAGCGCTGTAAAATAGACGTGACAAGTTCAGGTTTTTAAGTGTGAATTTTCATGGAGGGTTTTGATGCGTCCGTGCCCACTTTGGAGCACTTGAGCAGGCTACATAATACAACTACACCATGAAGGCATACCATTTCTTAAACAACACATCCCAGGGTATTTCAAAAGGCATATTTTGACGCTTAGCGTGGGATAAATTTTCCGCTAGCTTGTACCAAGTGTAGTGGTAATAAGCGTTTTTTTCTGCCTTTTTGACACACAAAGTGAGTTTGCACAGTATATTTTGCAAACCTTATGTGTGCTACGACTGTATAATACTACATATGTTGCTCAGCTATGTCATCTGAGTACAGCAATACCCCTGTATGTACCTTTGCCAGGTATATGTGGATGTTGAAGGTGCACATTTGAGACGCACCCAGTTTTTTTCTAACTTTGAAGTTTTACGCTGTGTACATGTTCCATTTTGGAGTAGTTTAGATGGTTGGTTATTAAAACTTCCCCACAAACATACTATTTATTAAAGAATGGAGTAATTCAAAAGGCGTATTTTGAACCTTAGCGTGGGATCATTTTTTCTCTAGGTTGTTCCAGGTGTAGTGGTAATGAGCATTTTTGAAATGTATTTTTTACTTTTTAAAACTAGTTTTTAAACTTTTGTTTAGCTTATTAATTTTTTTAAACTTTCCTAAAACTTTTTTCCCCCCCAATTTAACATTTTTATAAGCATATTTTTACCGTTAACCCCTAACTAGCAGTAAGCAGCACTAACAGTAAATTCCCCACTTTCCCATAACTCCCACCTACCCCAGCTAGCAAAATATAATTATAAAATATTAAAATTCATTAAATAAATTGAACCCCTGAGGGTTAAAAAATAAAAGTTAATCCTCAGGGGTAAAAAAAAAAAAATTAGATCACAGTATAATGCTGTGATCTGTATTTTGATCACTGTAGGCAGAGATCGACTGGCAGGGAAGGGGTTAATTTTTATTTGGATTGGGTAAAGGGGGTGGGTTTTTTTTTTGTTGCTTATACGTTATTAAAACTTATTTTAAAACTTTTAACGTTAACCCCTAATTAGCCTAACACCAAATCCCCCAATTCCCCACTAACTTCCACCCACTCCAGCTAAATATATAATTTTAAAATATTTAAATACATGTCTAAAATAAATTTAACCCCTGAGGGTTAAAAAAAAAAAATAAAAAAAAAATCAGATGACAGTAAAATGTATTCCCTGCCAATTGATCACTGTAGTCAGTGATCACTTGGCAGGGAAGGGTTAATTTTTTATTAAAATGGGTAAAGGGGCGTGGGATTTTGATTAAACTTTATTTTTATTTATTTTATTTTTTTTAACAGGAGATGATCAGCTCTGATCCATCTCCCTGCACTTCACAGTGAACCCGGAAGTGCAGGGTGGCGGAAGTTAAGTACATGCACAGCACATGTGCTCGCTCTGACAGCCTGTCCGAGTGAGCACTGTTGCAGGAGCAGCATGATCGGGTGCTCCTGGTCTGCCTCTAATAGAGAGGCAGACCGGAGCACCTTTAACCCCGCGATTGCCGTCACTGACCCGTCACTCGTCGTTAAGGGTTTCCCCTGAGTGACGGACCAGTGATTATGATGCTTGCAGTAACCCTGTAAGTGGAACGTGTACAATAAAAGACAAGATATGATTATGAAATACAATGACGAAAAACAGTATTTTAGTCTAAAACAGTATTGGATTAACAGTACACAAGATTCTATTAGATGTGAGAAAACCTACAAAGCAGAAAATGTCTAGGTTAAAACACATCATCGATTTACTTTATGTGAAAGTAACTCACCATTTCCCTGAAGCCATCGTATTTGTACACATGGCCTGAGCGTGTCAGTAATTTGATGCCATATCCAAGAGCCACACGACGCCATACTCCCTCAGCAAGGTCTGCTGCTGCAATATTCTCCACCTTCCCAGTCTTGCTGTTTTTGTACATAAGACCAACACGTGAGACACGTAGGCGTCCATCATTCTGTAACATGAAATATTATTACAATACAGAGTCAATAAACAAAAAAACGAAGGACAACAACACTAAATGTACCCATTCCGCATTTCTAATCAATGTCAATTTCAGCTCACATTGAGGAGCTGTTGTGAAAGCATAAACACAGACTCAAAACGCATCTAGACTTATGGGCATGTGTCAGTACTGTCCACCCCCCGCCATTGTAAATTTTGCTAAACCTGTTAACTTTTCAATTATTTTCTTTAGTCTGCCATGGATTTTTGTAATGTATGGTATATTTTTGGACGTTATTAAAGATATGCTTTTAACCACCATTATGCATGCAATGAGTATATACACAACCGCTCCACAAGTACTTTGGTTTTTTGTTTAATTCTAAGTCCACTCCTGTTAAATAGATGCATCTCATAAACCTCTGTATAACAGCTGGTGTCTTCTCTTCGTTTAATTCACATTATGTCATATATTTCATTTGCTGGACACATGCATGTTTGCTCTACAAATCTCTTGCAGAAAACTACCCACATGATTATGAAATACAGTACATACAGCTGCTTTTTTAGATTTTGTTTCCAATTCATGAGTCTGGCCTGCAATAAAGAGTCATTTTAAATTCGGTTATGAAAGTGGGACAAACTTTGGAATTGAAACCACGGTTTGTAAGCTTTTATATATGAAACCTAAAGATAACTAGTAAAGCCCATACAGACTATTTTTTTCTAAACTCCATATGCAAGAGATCTAAATTCAATATATTATAGATATACAAAAAACACAAACATATTTACAATGATTAAAAAAAATACTTCAAAATTAGGTTGACAGTGTGTGTAGGTCAGGTGTAGGCAACCTTCCACATTCCAGATGTTGTGGACTACATCTCCCCTGATGCTTTTTCAGCATTATAGCTGTAAAATTATTAATGGAGTTAGTCCATATCTGGAGTGCCGAGTAACCTACCACTGGTGTAGATCGTCTCAGATTGAACTTAAAATTCAATGGTATAAAAAGACTACGCGTAGATACCAACCCCTTAAAGCATTTTAATCAGTGTTTTATCTTCAACGAGGTGTATGTAGCCAATAGTTTTAAAAGGAGCATCGTGTGTATGTGTGCGTTAAGTCGCCATTCGACATTACATTACAGTATATATTAACCTGGTATGTAGGTAAAGCATGTATTGTGTCTGTGTGATGGAAGCCGTAATTAAAATAAAAAAAACTTTATAGACAACTGCAATACTATCACTCACCATAGATCCTTTCACTTCCTGGTAAATATCATTGAATTCCAGAGTATCCGCCATTATTTAACGTGAGTCGGGTACCGACACTCACTCTCTCTCCCGCCACACTCAGTAAGAGGGAATGCAAAGCGCCACTTCCGAGTACTGGGCGCTGCGATGTCGTCATTTCCAGTGTGTTCTGAGAAACTGTCGGTTCTACGGATAAATTCCACCATTTTGTTGGTTAGCTGGACATGCATGCAGACCAGATGCAGGGTTACTAAAGGTCTCACTAAAGTTAGCATTATAAGTGATTTTTTTTATATTTTAGGCCAAAGTAGCCGTATTAGAAAAATTCTCTAAGATAGTTATACTTCAGGTTTTGCTACTTTGGCCTAAAATGTGACATTCACTTAGAATTCTCACTTTATGAATATAGCCTGATAGTTTATTCACTAAACGCAATATCCAAATTGTAACAACTGCTAAATTAGTGATTGTTTAGCCTAAATTATGCAATTAGGATTTCAATTTACTAGAATTTTGTGTGTTTAGTTAATAAGCCTTTCACAGACAGGCACAAATTCACAGGAATATTTACTAAGCCAATAATTCTGGCCAATTAAAAGCAGAATTGCACAATTCAGGGAAAATATTGCCATTCGGATTTAAACCTGCTACTATCAAATAGAATAACCCCATAGGGTTATTTGCTAAAGTCTGAATTCCCCAAACCCAAATTTAAAATATAGTCTCGGGGTAGTGCATAGCGGTAGAGGAGAATAGGCGCAAATTGGCAGAGCTCCAAGCAGACCTGATCAAAATAAACAAATTTAAAGGACCACCATAGTCACCCAGACCACTTCAGATCAATGAAGTGGTCTGGATGCCAGGTCCCCCAGGTCTTAACCCTTCAGATGTAAACATAGCAGTTTCAGAGAAAATCGCATTGAGCACGCAGAACGTCCACAGGAAAGCATTGAGGAATGCTTTTCCATGGGCGTTTTTAATTTGCGCGCAACTCGGGAGTTGACATCGGACGGGGAGGGGAAGTCACCAGTGCCACGGGAGCCCGGCGCTGGATAAAGGTAAGTGGCTGAAGGTGTTTTAACCCCTTCAGCCCAGCGGGAGTGAGGCCCTGTGGGTGGGGGGGGACCTAAGGATTATATAGTGGTCCTGTAAGTGATTTTCTGTGCCTACCAACAAGCACCTTCACACCCCAAGCCTTAATGGGTCGCAAGACCAAAACACAGAGGCCCGATAGCACAAGCACTAGCACAACCTGTCCCACGAAAACGGGACTCCCAGCCGGTAACGGCAAAGATGCTGTAGGACCTACTGGCAAATCTCCAAAGCACACTTCAAGCGGATATGGCGTCCCTATGGTCAGACATTACGGACCTCGAGACAAGATTGGGCGCAGTAGAGACCTCGGCAGGCACGCTGGCTCTCAAGATTACTACACTGGAAAAGGAAGTGCAAGCCTTGAACATGAAGCAAGACGCCTCTGACTGGAGGTTTGCGGCCTTGGAGGATATGAGACGCAACTAAAACGTGAAGATAAAGGGCATCTCGGAGGACATCCCAGCGGCAGAGCTTCTGCACCTCCCAAGGAGATTACTCACGGCTCCACTGTCCCCAAAACAGGCCAAGCAGATCTCCATGGGTGAATACTTCAGGGTGCCTTAACCACCTAGGGCCCCTGAGGCTGTGCCCAGGAATCTGGTGCTACACTTCCAGAGTACCAGCGACAAAGCTGCGGTCCAGAAAGCTGTTAAGAGAACCTCTCCAAACAAATTTGATAACATGGATTTCATGTTCTTCTCTGACTTATCCGGAGACACACTGCAATGGCGGAGGTTTCTGCACCCATTTACAATGCTCCGTGGAGAACATGGCATCAGCTACAGATGGCGCGGGTCGAGGACCCTCCAAGTCCTGCAGGGCAACTCAGTCCATTCTAGACAGGACATGAACGGGGCAATGGGACTCTTGGAAGCAATAGGCCTTGCAAGGGACTCTTTGGGGCAAAAGGAGACTGCAGTGACCACCATAAAGCCACACACGGGACCTTGTGACTACTGTTCAATTTGTCACCCGGAAAGCCCACACGGGCGGTTATGCTGCATCCACACAACCTGAAGCCATCCAGAGATAACAATTCAGCAGCCTTAACTACAACCGGCTATATTTAGTTTATGTTATACTACCTTATAATATGTTTGTTTTTATTATCTTGTACATTAATTTGTCCCTCTTACACCCTGGCGGCCCGACACTAACATTCCTCACTCAATACCGCTGTTTTGGTCTCCCAACTACACTCACCATTCCCCTTCACCCCCTCCCCCCCCCGCCTCTGACACGACACCCCTCAGAAACCATAACGTCACTAAGCTCAGAGGTGTACTACAAAGAACCTGCGGCGTACAGGCCATAGGTACATTGCGTTTTTGTACCTACATAAAAATGGCACACACTACCTATGACATGCCACAATACACCTACAATCTCACTGCATTCACATGAGGTCAGCTTTAGAGAGCTCATCACACGTACTAAATCCCCTCAAACTACCATGTCAATGAGCTGCTCCACCGCTTGCCATGTCACTCCAGATGTAAAATTGTTTCAGGCATGTTCATTGTTGTTGTTGTGGCACAGTGAACTTCTATGTTATATGTCTACTCAAGTGCAACAAAAATAAAGAATTTAAAAAAAAAATTGTCTGGATGCTAAATCGAAACTATTTTTCTGCTGGCGACATAAGCAGTCACATACCCCCTAACACTGGCGTTCCAGAAAGCAGAACGAGAGTGGGGGAGGAGGGGGTCACTGTATGCCATTCACACTATTGTATCACTGCCCTGCCCAAATGGGGGAGGGGAGACGCCGGAGGTAACAAGCATAACAGTACACTGAAGGCAGCACTTGCAGGGAGTCCTGAGCATAGCAAGAGCATGTGTAAGAATGCACTTGTTATATACTTATTGGAGACAGTTCACTGGTGTTCCCAAAACTGGGACAGCAGGGAACAAAGCCGGGATGGCTTGACCCAGAAATCAGGACTGTCCCACCGAATTTGGGATGGTTGGGAGGCATGTAGTCAGCAGGCAAACAGTATCCCTTTGCTGTGCAAGAGTTAAGCAATGTGGCATCTAACGTAGCTGTTAAAAGTTAAAAATCATTATGACCACCACACAACCATCAGATGGTCAAATAATAACTAAAGTGAGAATTGTCAATAATTCAAAAGGATTGCTGAATTGGAAGCATTGTTTACTTGGAGATTTTTTCCAAGCCATCTATTTTGCTGGAATCCAGACACTATAACCACTTCAAGTACATTAAGCAGTTGCAGTTCTTGCAGTGTCCCTTCTATTAAGCAGTTAAGTAGCGAGACTGTGGTATAAGGTAATGATCCTATTAAAATATTGGGGGTGGGCTGGGCCCTGGTCAGGGCCGGCGCTACCTGTAAGGCGACCTAGGCAGCCGCCTAGGGCGCACCTTAACAGGGGGCGCCGGATCCCTGCGCCCGGAGTCACCGTGGATTTGAGTGACCGGCAGGAGGGAAGCACAGAGCGCTCCCTCCCGCCGGTCTCTCAATGTAGCGTGGCCGGGCGGCGCGGAACGCGGGACAGGAACCTCTGTTTCCTGTACCCGGCTGCCGGTGGACTGACAGGAAGTGCTCACTGAGGACCAGAGGTAGAGGGGAGGCGGGTAAGGGCCACTGGGGGAGTAAGGACCACTGGGGGAGGAGAGGTATGGGGGTAATAAGGACCACTAGGGGAGGAGGGGGAGTAGGACCACTGGGGGAGGAATGGAGGGAGTAGAACCACTGGGGGAGGAGGGGGTATAGAACCACTGGGAAGGGGTGAAGGAACACAGGGGAGGAGGGGTGGGGAGTAAAGGACCACTGAGGGAGGAGGGGGAAGGACCACTAGGGGAGGGATAATGACCACTGGGGGGGAGATTATCACTAAGTGGGTGGGGGGAGGAGGGGAATGTCTACTAAGGGGTTTGGGAGAGGGAGGGCCACTAAGGGGGAAGGGGGGAGTGAGAAGACCACCAAGGGGGACTACAGGGGGCCAAGGGAGAGCACTAAGGGACAGAAGGGAAGTGGAAATCAATCATTGACAGGGGGGGAGAGCACTATGAAAAAAATAAATAAAGAGCTGCTCCACTCTCAGTCTCTATCCTACCCCACAAACCCTCTCTTTTACACTACACACATGCACAATGCATCCCCCCCACACACACACAGAAACATACAATGCATTCCTACTCACACACAGACACACCCGAAACACACAATGCATCCCTTACATTCACACAAACACTCATTCTCTTACACACAAAAACAAAATGCATCTCTTACACAATCAATGCACCCCTTACAGACACACACTGCATTCAATTAAATACACAGAAACACACCTTGCACCCCTTACACACACACCCCCAGAAACATACAATGCATTCCTTACACGCAAACACACACTGCATCCCCTATAAACACACTACATCCCTTACAGAAATTGGTATCCCTATACACTACATTCTATAAGAACACACACACATTGCATCCTCTACAATAACACATAAAACATCCCCTACACACATACACTCCACTTCCTGTGAGAGAACTCATGGGTGGGCCATGTAGGTGGATTTATGGGTGGGCATTGTAGGCATACTCACGGTCAAGCCCTGGGGGCCCAGACCTTGAGCTGTGTAAGGGGCCCTAAAAAATGGAGCTGCTTCCTGTTCGTTAATTGTTGTGAGCACTGTTAAAAACAGTCTCCTGAGAGCCTCTTCTACACCAGACCTGTGGAGCCAGACAGAGCCCATCATCAGCCTCTTGTCCTCATCTGGTGGTAAGTAGGCAATCCAATATATTATTAGTGGCACTAATCTCTAATTTACCTCACATTAAATGGATGCCATAGTCACTTAAGCACTACAGCATAATGTAGTGGTTCTGGAATCTATAGCCTGTGCCTGTAGGCTTTTTAATGTAAACACACTGTCTTTTCAGATAAAAAACACTTTGTGAAGACTGGCGTTGGCCCATATGGCAGAGCATATGGGCGGGGCATTGTGATGTCACATGGTGGGCAGGACATATGGGGGGGGAATATTTTTTTTGCCTAGGGCAGCAAAA